AATAAAGTTTTATGGGGAATTAAAAAAAAATTCTAAAATCTTATGTTTTTAACAATTCATCAGAATATAGCTTTATAATGATTATATTTTTACAGATTATTCAATTTATAAAATATTTAAAATAATTTACTATGTGTTGCAATGCTTAGTTTACTTAATAGTAGTGTTATTTATTTGTTATTTCTAAAAACAAGATTAATCTTATTGCATATCAACCATTAGATGATAGAATAAAAAAAAGAATGTACTAGAAAGGGTTTTAAAAAGTTTATAAATTATAAATACAAGATTAATCTAAGTGAATAACAACTGTGAGATAGTAAACTATCCTAGAATATCGTATCGGGATTGGGTAATTTTATTTGAATAAAAATCCTAGTAAACACAAAAACTGTATTTTCTGGAGCCTTGAAGATTATTCTTGTGATCCTCTTGGAACTAGTGAGGGAGAACGCTGCTAGTTATTGATTCTTGTCCAAAGCTAGCAGTTTATAACCATAATCACTGACCTTGGAATGTGCTGTTTCTCTCTTAATAGCTAGTGCAGTTCTCCCAGTACAACTATGATTTGTTTAGGAATATATGGGTGACTGCCAGGGGCTGCTAGATTACAAAGGTCTTCTAAATTTTCAGTGTGCCATCTCCCATCCAGCTTTACCTAAAATCCTCCTATTGTCAAGCAAAACCTTGAGTATTCTTAAGTTAAGCTACTAAAATGCATGCTTGTGGTGTCAAGTTACCTTTGGTAATGTATGCCTTATTATCTTGTGATGCATGAGGCAAATGGATTGAGCATAGTGAAGTGTTGAGAATGGTTAGGATAAAAGTTTGGGAATGACAAGGCCAGACATGGCTTGGAGTTTATACTTTAGTCCTTTACTCTCTATTCTGCCCAGAACAGATACAATAATTAGTACATGTATGCTTTGCTATCTCACAAAGTGAGGTGCTGTCAAATGCCACGAGATTAACATGTAGAGCAGCAGCTCGTCCAAAAACCTTGAAACGAGCGTCAACGTAGATGTGTGTGATCAGACGGGTATAGATTGAGAAGATTGAGAAGCGTGGAATCAAATCAAATCAAAGAATGACAAACAAAATTGCAAACTTGATGACAGCAGGTTCTTTTCTCCTCGGGTCAGTCACGTTTTCTAACCGATTGGTGATCAGAGCAGAGGAAACGAAACAATATCAAGCAAGTTACCTGGATTGGCAAGAAGAGCTTGTATTCAGCAGGCAGCTCCTCCTCGGAGTAAAGGCGATCGGAGAAGTAGATCCTCCGGATGCGGCAATTGGCGTGAACTTGGACGCACAGCGTCTCGACGTAGTTCGTGCCGTAAGCGCGCCTCGTGAAGTCGGAGAGGTTGAACTGGATCTGGTTCCATCCCTCGTCAAGCCTCATCGGCATGGTACAGATGAAAGGCTTCACGCGTGTTGTCGACTGAAATAAGAACGGAGGTGAGCAACGAAAGCTTTGCTAGAGAAAAGGAAGATAACGAAAGAAACTTGTGAGAAGTTTATATTACCTGGTTGAAAGCAGATGTGAGCGTGGAAGTACCTCAAAGTTGGAGGCTTTGAACCGGCGCTTGACGTTCTTGTCGTCGAGGACTTGGACCTCAAACGTGAAGTACTTGCGCAGGTTCTTGATGATCATCACCAGGAAGGGCAGCTTGATGCCGAGCGTGGTCTTTGGTTCCTTGGGGCAAGTGATGAAATTCGTGCTCACGTTCGTTCCGCGAATCTCCAAAACACTCGACTGGATGTCCTCGTCAGTCAATCTCTTGATGTAGCCATTCGTCACTGCAACAAAAAGGAAGAACATGAGAGAGTAAAGAAACAAAGTTCTCTCTCTAAGACCGAAGGACACAAAGAAAGGATCAGACCTTCTTCGTTCCATATGTTGAGAGGCTTTCTCCTGTCCAGAGCAAATGCATTAGCGAGCTCTCTACAGATCTTTGACGAATAGAAACGATTTCTCACCCAATGCTGTAGAGGATGGAGAGGAAGCCGGATTGGAATGCATTCCTAAACATTGTCGCTCCCCCAAATCAGCGCCGGGCTCTCGCTCCTGCCCTAGGTCTGGCTCCAAAATATTTCGATCGGCCTGGCCAGTGCGAATGTCAATCCATCTCTCAATCACTTCACGGCGCTGGGATTGCGTACCTTCGATCGCGATCAAGAGAGAGCTACGAGGGCGACGGATGGATCAAAATCGGCGGCTCCTCCTCCACTCCGCCATTGCAGGCTTGCCGGTAACTAAACCGCCCAGCTAGGTCTCGCGACCATGTCATAGCTAACGTGGCTGGAGAATCCGCCAACGTGGCGAGAATGTCGCTGGCGTGGCGCCATGTGAATCGTTGTCCGGAGCTAACTGCCCAGCCGGCTGAAATTCAAAAAGAAGAGCGCTCTCTCTCTCTCTCTCTCTCTCTCTTCAATCGGCCCTAGCAATTAGGGTTCTTCCACCATGAGTGGGTGTAACTCCGGCTGCGGCCCACAGGGATCTGAACTTCCCGCATTTTCCTTCTGCCATCCACCGGTAAGCAGCGATCCATGGCTCTTGGATTTTCATACAGGATCGCAGGCATCACAAAGCACAAGCCTGGTGGATTTCGCAGGAATGCGGGCGGCCCAAGCCCCAAAATCTCAACTTCACGGATGGATTCCGGGAGGTGCGCGATCCCGAGGTGCGCAAGCAGCACCGGCGGGAGCTGGGCGAGAAGATGCGCGATTATTTCTACGAGGGCGGGGTTTGTGGGCCTTGCAACGTAGAGATGGGCACTCCACTCCCAAAGTGGCTCAAGTACGATCGCCAGGTAACAAACTGGGGTCTAGGTAACAAATTGGAAGAGAAACTGGTAAAATTTCATCGTTCTTTCTTCCAGGTGCTGAGATTTTACTGCTACTTCAAAGAGCCTGTGAACGAGAGGAGGGACGAGAACTTTAGAGTTCGAAAATGCACCATCTATTTCTACCTGGAAGATGGAAGCATTCATGTCTCGGTGAGTGCTCGGGATTTCTTTTCATTTCCGTGATTCACAAATAATCTTTCATCGGAGGAACTTAACTTTCGTGGATTTCGGGAACACTTTATAAACTCTATTTCTCGTTGATGCATGCAACAGGAACCACGCCAAGACAACAGTGGCCTAATGCAGGTTTGCTGATTTGTACTTTCCTACATTTCTAAACTTCGTTACGTGTTTTGTCTGCAGGGACAATTCCTGAAGAGGCACAGAATCCCCAAGAAAGATGGAAGTGGCTATTTGTCTGTGAAGGATTTTGTCCTGGGCACAGACTTGACTATCTACGACAGGACTTTTCGGATTTGCAACTGCGACACATTTACTCGAGTTAGACACATCCTCAAAAACACTTTTTGTGCTTAGATGTGACTAATGTGTGTTGCAGAGGTATTTGATGAAGCACAGATTTGAAGTGGGCAACGAGGAGGATGTTCCCGGAGAACCTTTGTCCGCATACCGCAAGAGCTTGGAGCGTCATCGTGTCAAGGTTCACAAGGAGTATGCAAACAAACAATTTCTGGAAAACGATGGAAAGGTTCTAAGATTTTTCTGCGTTTGGGACGACCGTGGGGCCGTCTACGGAGAACGTAGGCCATACGTAAGTTGGATTTCCTTTTCTTCTGATTCTCATGGCTGTTTTTCTTTCTTTCTTCAGGTTCTTCATTACTTCTTGGCAGATGACACGATAGAGATTTTGGAAATGCACGAGCGGAATAACGGGAGGTACCCGTTTCCAATGATGCTGCGCAGGATGAAACTTCCTCGAGAGATACCAACTGACCTCTTAGGTGAGATCTTCTAAGGAGAAGAGAACTAAACCGAGCAGTAAAGTTGTAGCATGTTGCAGGCAAGAATATTGGAGCTCAGCATGTTCACAAGTCCTCGTGCTACAACGAGTGTGACTTGCACATTGGGAGCTTCTTGACGATTTACGGTCGAGATTTGCTACTGCACGATTGCGATGATTTTACCCGACAATATTACAAGGAGAAATGGGGAGTTACTGATGACATGCTGGAGCCTGTTGCGGTTCAGGTAGCGTTTCTTTCCTTCTCTCTTTGTGTCTTTCAGTTTGTGATGTGTGCCACGGCTTTAATGGAACAATTGCGTTACAGGAAAAAGCACCGGTGCTGGCCAGAATGGAAGTTCCTCCATACAACGGCTATGGTTCTGACGCGGACAGTATGCAAAATTGTATTTCTCTGATTCCAAAAGCGGCCATGAAAGACTTCAACAAGTTCTTAAACAACGACGGAAAGGTAGACACGACTACTGGAAAGCTCTTAAGTGCCTTTTGACGCCTTCTCGCTCTCGTGAATATACAGATTATGTGCTTTTCGGCAAGGTTCGCAGAAGATGCAAATCACCGCGTTATAGGCCCTGACAGAGGTCGCCTCTTCGTTTTTCAGGTACTACCATTTGTTTCTGTCATTTGTTTAGATCTTGATAATGACATGTTTTTGTTTGCAGTACTACTTGTCTGACGATACAATTGCCATCTACGAGCCACCGGCTAGAAACTCCGGTATTGTTGGTGGCAAGTTTTTGTATCGTCAGGACTCTCCTCCCAAGCCTGGGACCAAGAGACCATATGGACCAAGCGATATGCTTGTGGGAGCGAAACTAGAGATACACAGGCATTTGTTTGAGCTCCTCCAGGCAGACGAATGGACGCTCAAGTACATGGAGAGAAACCTCAGTACCTTCCCCCAGTCGGATTATAGACGAGCTTATTGCAAGGTGATATTTCCTTACTGTTTGTTATTCATCTCTTCTCATGGTTCTTTTGCAGCTAAATTCTTCGATTGAGAGAATGCCCGAGGATGGCCTCCACAATCTCAAGCTCACGCTACCAAAGGGCAATCCGTCGGAGTAAAACACAAATCTCTCCTCAAAATCTCTTTTTTAGAAACTTTCGAGCTAACTTAACGCGTTTTTCTCACTGCAGGCAATTCTCTCCAATCGATATCTTGTTGCCAATCTTGGCGAGGGGTGGCATCGACATGACCAAGCAAGAGCTCGTGACAATTGAGCGTGGCTTGGAGAATGGCCAAGAGCCTGGAGTACAAGACATCTACACGCTCATTGTAAAGTTTGTATGTAATTCCATGAGCCGATAGATTGAAACTTGGAAACTCTGGTGTTTGGAATGCCATGGGTATGTAAAAATCTCATAAATTACAAGTGAAAGAAGAGACTGTATACAACACAAGTGAGATCAATCCATCAAACCTTTCGTTTACGTTGGTGCAACCTTCTCGCCGGGCTCGTTCTTCTCGTAACCAGCATGGCGATGGCGATGGCGCTGGCGGTGTTTTCTCCTGGCAGCAATGATCCAAAACACGATGGACAGCATCGTTCCGGCGGAGGCGAGAGCCAAGCCAATGTAAATCCACCTCGTGTACTTCCGCAAGCCCGGGCACCTCTCGCGGATGATGGTCTGGAACGTCTCGCGGACGAACACGCAGTTCTCCACGTTCACCAGGAACGGTACGTTGACAACCAAGCCGGTAGCGACGGACACGGACTTCATGACTTGGTCATTTATCTGTGGAGTCATTCGTCCAGGCGTGGCGCACGTCGTCCCAGTAGGAGCTTGACAAACGTAGCGGGACCAGTTCTATCACGATCGAAAGGAAAAAAAAGTGTCAAACAAGTCTCTGGAGTGAAAAGAAAAAAGAGTGAAGTTGAGTTGCTTACCCCTGGAGCTTGCTGGAGCGTGATGGTGCCGCTGGCACACGGGACTTCGGCGTAGTCCGGCGCGGGGCCGTATGGACTGCACAGCGTGGGCATCGTGGGTCCTGACTGGTTGAAGTTCAATGGATTACCAGGGGGCGCGGCGTTGCCGTTGAGGACGAGCGTGACTGCCTGGTTAAGGACTCTCACCACCGACACCGCCACCTCTTTGCTTCTGTCCAGCGTCTGGTTTGCTGTTGTCTGGTTGACGCACGGAAGGATGTCATCCAAGTTTGTGCTGCGGCCGGGGTTTTGGACCCACTCGCGCATTGCAACACAAGTGTCCCCCATTACGCTGAAATGAAAAAACATATATCAGGCTTGGTAAATGGTCTGCCAGTCTTACTTGTTGAGAAGAATGAAAACCCCGCAGAGAATCCACGTTGCGATGACAAGAATGAATCCCAAAATCACCAGCCTGGAAGGAACCGTCGGTGAGTTAACAGCTTACCAAACAAGATGAGAAATGAACTAGTTGTTGACACTTACAGGTAGACAAGGGACTGCAAGCCACACGCGGCGAACACTGCGTTGAACATGGAAAAGTTAGCTTCGCTTTTGAGTATGGTTGCATCTTACGGATTCCGAGAAGCACAAGTAGGAGCATCGCTGCCGAGATGATAATCATTGCCAAACGCCTGGAAACGTAAGAGAGAGTGTTAGTTCCAAATCATTTTTTGTGTTTTCTCGAATGAAAACAAGCGACGTGCTTACACCATGTTGATGGCCCTCCGGATCTTGTGCGCATTGTCCTCTGTTTTCAACTCCAACTGGTTCGAGGTAGTGTTCAACTGCTGGCTTATCTGCAAGACTTGCTGCCTCTCATCGTTGCCTAGCCCAAACCCAAAAATGTTAATGGAAGCTCCCTGGTTGAGAGTTCTCGACACATTCTGGAGGTTGTCCACGGTAGTCTGGGACTGCCGTACAACGAAGTTGAGAGTGCCGGACAGCTCGTCATGGAACTTTGCCTGGGAGATGTACACCAACACGCATCCGGCACTGCAAAAGAAGGGAAAGCTCAGCTTATCCAGCTTTCGCTATATAGTTTCACTTACATTGCCGCCAAAGTGAGTAAGGAGAGCAGAAGCAAGGGTACCAAACTGGACTCGCTTCCCGAGCGATCTTTCCTCCTACAGCAGCAGCAGTAGCAGCACAAGGACAGTAGGAAGAGCAAACCCAGCGCTGCCCAGAGGAGCGCTAGGATGAAACCTGGAAGCCCTGTAAAACCGACAGACTAGAAGAAATCAAAGGAGTAAGGGCCAAAAACAAAATATCTATGCGCGCTCGTACCGCCCAGTAGTGTTTGTTTCGAATGTCCCAGCCATCCCTGTATCGCCGGAAATCATCGAGCGGATCGTGCCTGCTAGTCCGATCCTCCGCGAGGAGCAAGGTCGAGTTAGAGGAGGGCGCTTGCTTCAGGGTTCTCCCAAATCCCGGATGAATCACCACTATCCCTGTGTCTGCCACAGCGCAAAAGAAAATATTTCTCACCACGAGAATGGCGCACGCAGCTACAAACCTTGGAATGCTCCACGATGATCTTCCTGCGCGGCGATGGCAGCAATCGCGATCGCCAGTAGCAGCCACAGCGAGGCCCTTGCTAGAAATCCCATGGCTGGCCAGCAGCAACTACCTCGCGGCGTTGGATTGGGGTAGGGACAAGAAATCTACCAAAGATTGAAGCTCCGCTCACTCCCGCGCCATCGATCGCCGGTGAGATCGATGAAAAACACGCAACATCACGCGCCCTGCGCGATCCCTGGGCAAATGCGACTCGACGAAACCTGTGCTACCGTGCGAGAAAGAGGGGAGAGCTAGTTTCCAAGCCAAGGGATGGAATGTCCAACGGGTCGCAAAGCATGGACATTCCGGCAGGGCCTTACGCTCCGGAATGGGCAAGCGCGTGGAGCCGCCTTCCCGTCTGGGCAACCGACACGTGGCGCGCATCGTACTGCTGCTCACGCTTAGTTTACATTGTTTACAGCTATTATGGTGTTGCCGACACAGCGATTATTCTAAGCACCGCGTATAATCAGTCTCAACGAACAAGTGTCCCACGAGGTGGCATCGTAATATCACCGCCACCTTTCGCCTCAAAATTTTTCCTGTAGTGTTTGATTGCCTATGATAGATGATGCATGCATGCAAAGCGAAGCCACCGTGTCGTCGTTGGGCCCAGCCTACTATGATCAAAAAGGCCTGGGAAATTAAAGAAGACGAAAGCTAAGGTCTGAAAGGACGTGTATTTGTCGGTCTCTATCGTCTAGTCGCGCGACCTTCGCAATTGTGACTTTGGTGGGACTCCATCGTTGAGAAACCTTGCCTTGAAAACAACCTCCAACCAAATAGAAAAATGGAGGAGAATAGAAGCCGTGACGTTAGCAATGAAACGGAAGCGCAGGCACTAACCAGCATATCATCTCCAGAGCTCGGTCTATCTCTCTTTCAGATCTGTGCGAGATCGGCGTTAAGTTCTTGTCAGACAGAAATCAGAGAAACTGCGAGAGACACCTGGATTGTCGCATCCATGCCACAGAATCGAGCTTTCAGAGATTTTAGTACCATTGTGCAGGCCAGCAAAAGAGCGAGAAAGATCTAAAAAATTAAAAAAAATGATTTTTCTCGGCTTTACTCACAGTTTTAGGCACTCTTTTTCGCGGGTTTTATGCGCTTGGCTCTCGAGTATGCAAAGACGCCAGCCAGTGCCAGAGCAGTGCCTGCAACAAGTACACCGTGTGTTTTTAACGTGGATAACGAAGCGACGAAGACGGCAGGGAGAATCTTACCAAGAGCATTTATTGTCGACACTGGTGTTCTAAAGAAGATGACTGAAGTTACAATCACAATCACGCGCTTGACACAGTTTCCAACGGAGTGCGTAACCGGCGATACCCTTTGCAATATCATGTAGGACACCTGCAAATCGTCCTTCAGAAACAACGCTAAACTTGCATCAGAGCAAACCTGTTGGTACGAATGAAAACATAATCCTGCTACTAATGCTCTCAACATAACAACTTTCACATCCAGTCCCTGCAGGATCCATTTTCTTTCTATTAGTAAACGCAACGTAGGAAGTGCACGAAACAAATCTACCATTGAAGTCAAGTATTCGGGTGTGAATTTCACTCCCTCGAAGAACAGCGTCACGGGTGCCAGAAGGAAAAAGGACAGGATCGTAATCACGGAGAACAGATTGATGTTGTCAAGAGAGCCCTGCGGAAGAAAGTGAATCCAAATAGAACGAGAACAGAGAACAAGATCTACCTCCTTTTTCACCATCAACTTTTTGCTCAAAACATTTCGCGACTGGAAAGTAACATTTGATGCCATGGCACTTAGAAATCCAGCCCTGTCCATAGAAAAAGAATATAAGAAACGGCAAATGCGATGTTGGTAAGGCCTTGTTACCAGTTGAAAGACGCCTCAGTCAAGGATGCCAACGCCACACCTCCAACAATTGGCAAGAGAGAAGCGATAATCCAAGCACTTGGAGCCTGCAAAGGCAATTGATATAGAACCTTTTCTGCGAACGTATCATACCTCGCCAAGGAACATAGCCGATAGAAGAACAGAGAAAAACGGCTCCATAGCCTTGATTGTGTGAGTAAATGACACCGCAACCTTTCCAAGGCTCATGTTGGTAAAGAGATTCCCCATGGTGTGCACCAATGCCAGCGGCAAGATCGCGACCACCTACGAAGAAACAAGGACAAAATTTTTAGAGATGCTCGATCTACACAAACGACAATTTCTACGACGATACCTGTGCAGTGGTGAGACTTGGACGCTTGTACAGTCCCGTAGTCCACATGAAGAGCACGGCAGCGGACCCAATGGCGAATTGGATCTCAGTGATCGTGATCGGGAATGGAAAGACCTTGAGCACCTGAGAAATAAGTTCTAGTTAGAAAGTAGCATGCATGGAGAAAACAAGAAAAGATCCTAGCTATGGTGGAGAAAAGAAAACGAGAAGAAACAATGCCTGCTTGTTATAGATGTTGAAGTAGATGTTGAAGAGGTACCACAATCCGAAGAGCGATCCCAGCTGGAGCGTGCGCATCATCGCGCTGCCGGATTCTTGCTCCTCCACGCCATCGCCTGGAGCTGCCGCTGACGCATCGCCCGACGCAGCGCTCCTCGCCTCGATGATCCGCGTCCGGGGCCGAAATTTGCTCGCGAGATCATCCTCCCTCGATGCGCCGAGAAGAATCGGCGTCAGGCCCGCAGAAAGCGATGCATGCACTCCCCCCCGCCCAGCGATGGAGCTGCTCGAGATCCTGGATCCGGCCGCGAGAATTCTGGCATGCCGCTCCTCGTGCCTGCTCGAGAATGTGAGCGAGGAGGTGCTGTGCAAGCCCGCGGCCGCAGAGATCGCCATTGGAGAGAAGAATGCCACTAGCCTAGAACCCTAAAATCCCGAGCTCCAAACCCTCAAATATCATGGGCACATGAACAGCTTGGCACGCCTGATCAAGGAATGCGGCGCTTGCCAGGATCTCCGCCAGGCGCATTGGATCCAAGCCCAGATCCAGCGCGTGAAGAAGCAGCGCGATAGAACCCTCCTCCTCAATCACCTCATCGAGCTCTATGGGAAATGCGGGAGCGTGGACGATGCCCTCGCCGTGTTCCAGACGATCGAGAAACCTAACGTCTTCTCCTGGAACATTGTGGCGGCGGCATTTGCCCAGAACGGCGATCTTGCGCGCGCGAGGGAGGTTTTCAATCGAATGCCCGAGAGGAGCGTCGTGTCGTGGTCGCAGATCACGAATCTCTACGCTCAAAGCGGGGATTTGGATGAGACTTGGAGATTGTTTCTTGCGATGCCGGATAGAACAGTCACGTCTTGGACTGCGCTCGTTGCGATGTATGCCCAGAACGGGTATTTTGGAATGGCGAAAGAAGTGTTCTATAGGATGCCCGAGAGGAACACCCTTGCTTGGAACGCGATGATCCAAGGACTGTCGCTCAAAGGCGATGTTCTTGGCGCCAAGGAAGTGTTTGATGCAATGCCCGAGAGAGATCTTGTGGCTTGGACAACGATCGTCACAAGCTATGCCCAAAACGGGCATTTTCGCGAGGCGATCCATCTCTTCTCGCACATGCCCGAGCGCGATCTCGTCCCCTGGAACGCCCTCATCACCGCGCTGGCGCAAGGCGGAAGGCCCGACGATGCAATCACGCTCTTCCAATTGATCCCGGTCAAGAACATCACCGCGTGGAGTGCGATCGTGGGAGCGATCGCCCACAGCGGCGACGTCGAGGGCGCCAAGCTCGCCTTCTCCGCCATGCCCACCCGAGATCTCGCCGCCTGGAACATCCTCGTCCAGGGATTCATCGCCACCAGCGCGATTGAGGCGGCCATGGAGGTGTTCTCACGGATGCCGCAGCGCGACACCGTGCTCGCCACCGCCATCGTCGCGATCAACGCCGAGAATGGCCTCCTCGACAAGGCGACGCGCGCATTCGAGGCGATGCCCCAGCGCAACGTCGTCTCGTGGACGATCCTGGCGGTGGGCGCCGCGCAAATCGGCCGCGCTGCGACGGCGCGCGAGATCTTCGCCAGAATCCCTTGCTGGGACGCCGTGATCTGGACCGCGATGCTGGGCGCTCTCGCCCGAGGAGGCAATCTCCACGAATCGGAGCTCCTCTTCCACAGGATGCCCGAGCGCGACGCAGTGGCATGGAACACGATGATGAAAGCCATCGCTCGCAGCAGCGGCGAGGAGTCCCCGCGCCTCTTCGATTTCTACGCGGCCATGAATCTCGAGGGCGATGCCAATCCCGATGCGCTCACTTTCAACGCGATCCTCACGGCCTGCAGCCACGCCGGGCGCGCGATCGACCGGGGATTCCACTACTTCGCGATGATGATCGCCGAGCATGGGATCGCTCCCCTCGCGGATCACTTCCAGTGCCTGATCGATGGGCTGTGCCGATCGACCCACCTCGCGCGAGCGTACGAGCTTCTCACCACCATGCCGCACCGAGCGGATATGGTGTCGTGGACGATCTTCCTGGCGGCGTGCCGCGTCTATGGGGAGACCGATTTGGCGGCGCTGGCGGCGCGCTGCGCGGTGGAGCTCTCCCCGGAGGAATCCTCGTCTTACGTGCTTCTCTTCAACACCTACATCGATTCGATCGATCGCGTGGGCGATCGATTCGAGCCCATCGATCTTCTGGAGGAGCTTAGCCAGCACAATTGACATAGCTATGCTCCTCCAAATTCTTGGCGATCAAGGCATTCGAGAGGAGCAAGTAGGAAGATCCTTGCTCTGGATTGGATCCCGCGAGGAACTGCGCTGCTCGAGTCGCCCGGGAGAGATCTCCGTGGGTCTTGGACGCTGCCAGTAGCGCCGTCCAAGCCAGCCCGTCGGGATTGTCAAAAGGCATGGCGTGGATGAGCTCCTCGGCCTCGCCCAGCCGCTTTGTTCTTCCCAAGAGATCAATCACGCATCGGTAGTGCTCCGGCGATGGCTCCAGCCCCTGATCCACGCGCAGTGACTGGAATTGGCGGCGCCCTTCTTCCAGAAGCCCGCCATGGCTGCAAGCTGTGAGAATTCCAACGAAGGTGATGGAATTCGGCCTCACGCCATTTAATTCCATCGCCCAATACAGCTCCAGAGCGCGATCGCTCTGCCCAATCTCCGCCAGCGCCTGGATCATGGTGCTCCATGACACCACATTCTTGCTCGCTATTCTCGAGAACATCTCGCTAGCTTCGTGAAGAAGGCCATCTTGCGCATAGGCCGTGAGCATCGCGTTGAGGGTGATGGTGCTCCACTCCGGCATTTTGTCGAGGATCTTCCTCGCCTCCCTGGCCTTGCGATTCTGCCCACACCCGACGATCATCACCGTGTAGCTCATGACGTTCCGCGCAGTGAGGTTTGCGAATAGCTCCCAGGCTTCGTCCAAATGCCCAAGCTGGGCATAAGCCTGGATCATCACTGTCACAGGCACTATGCCGGGGTCTTCGATTCTATCAAGAAGCTCTCTAGCTCCGCGAAGATCTCCATTGTGAGCATGGGCCTGGATCATCGTCGTCAATAGCGCCGAGTCTTTGAACTCGAGCGTATCAAACAACGCCCTCGCTTTGTCAATATGCCCTGTCTGGGCATATGCTGTAAGGAGGATGGTAAACGCGATTAAATCCCTCTGCGGCATCTTGTCCAATGCATCCACCGCTTTGAGAAAATCCTCCTCTTGCGCTAGCGCTTGTGTGAGCACCGTCCACGAAACAACATCTCGCTGAGGCATGCGATCGAAGTTCCGCTTGACGTTTTCCAGATGCCGTTTTCGGGCAAATGCTGTAAGGATCGCGTTCCAGGACGTGACGCTCCATTCGGGCATCCGATCAAAGGTCTCTACAGCTGAAGCGTCCCCAGACGCAGAAATAGCCGCGTTCCAAGACCCAAGATCTCTCTCCACCATGGTTTCGAAGACTGTCCTCGCGTCCTCAGGATGCCCATTCCGGGCATACGCCTTGAGCAGCGCATTGCCCGACATGGCATTGGTGGCGCGCATGGAATCAAACGTCCGTTTGGCGTCCTCTACGCTGCCGCAGCTGCCATAGACCCCGATCATGGTGTTTCCGGATACCACATCCCACTCGGGCATGAGCGCGAACACTCGCCGCGCCTCGTCGGGTTGCCCGGCGTGCGCGCAGGCGCCCACCATCGTCGCCCACGAGTTGCAATCCCTGCTGCCGCGCATCGCTGCGAATGCGTCGCCCGCGTCGCGGATTCGGCCATTGCGGCCGTAGGCGCTGATGAGGATGTTCCAGGAGTAGGAGTTGGGCTTGTCGATCGAGAGGAAAACCTCGCGCGCGAGACACAAGTCCCCGCATTTGCCATAGGTGTCGAGCAGGAGATTGGCGAGGTAGCGGCTGCGCCGGAATTGGGGGCTATGGCGGATGAAAGAATGGAGGCGGCGGGCCTGCGCTAGATCCTTGGCGGCGCCACTGCCACTCAAGAGGCGGCCAAGAGCGAAGAGCTCGCGCCTGACATTCTCATCGGTCATAAAATCCCGTCAATGAGTCCACTCGTAGACTGAAAAAGTTGTCCACTCCTTGACTAAGAAGTCAACTCAACCAGTCAAAGAGTCCCACCTTTTGGACTGTGAATCGCTCGCGCGATCGCGTTCATGAGCAGGATTCTTCGCCAATTACTCCGGCAAGAGATCGATTCTTCGCCTTGCTCGCAGCAGTCCCCCGCGGATCTAGATCTACATTCACTGATTCGATTGCTCCACCTCTCCCACAATCTCCCCTCCCTCCGGCGAGCCCACGCCGCGATCTCGCGCAGCAAACACGCCCACTGCCGCTTCCTCGCCAATCTCCTCGTCGATCTCTACGGCAAATGCGGGAGCCCCAGGGAGGCGCTGGCGGTCTTCAGCGAGATCAGCGATCCAAACTCCTATTCGTGGAATTTTATGCTCCGGGCTTATCTCCTCGGCGGACAGATGATCGAGTTCCAGCAATTCTTCGATAAAATGCGCGCGAGAAACGCTGTTTCCTGGACGTCTGCTGTGGAGGCTTATGCCCAGGCAGGGTATCTAGGGGAAGCTCGCTCATACTTTTCAAGGATGCCACACCACAGCGTAATCGCTTCTACAACCTTGATGGTAGCTTACGCAAAATATGGTTATCTTGATCAATCGAAAGAAATGTTTGATCAAATGCTCAGAAAGACAGAGGTAACTTGGAACGCTATGCTAGAAGCATATGCCCAAGACGGGCAACTTACTCATGCAGAGTTTATTTTTTCTATACAGCCTAGGTGGAGCATAGTCTCGTTTACAACAGTAATTGTCCTTTACTCGCAGTATGGCCAGATAGTAAAAGCCACTCAAATGTTTAACGAAGTCACTGACAAAGATGTTGTTGCTTGGGGAGCTCTCCTCTCGGCAAATGCCGAGAACGGGGATTTAGAGGCCGCCGAGAAGATTTTCTACCTCATGCCCGGCTGGAACGTCGCGGCTTGCAACTCCGTCGTTGCGGCCTATGGAAACGAAGGTCTCGTCGACAAAGCAAGGCTCGTGTTCGATCGAATGCCCGATCGAAACCTTGTCACGTACAACGTCCTCCTCTCATCTCTCGCTCAGCATCGATTCCACGACTCCAAGAGCCTGTTCGACGCCATGAAGCAGCGAAACATCATCTCATGGAACAACATCCTGCGAGCTTTCGTCGAGAGCCAGCAGCTAGACGCGGCGGAGGCGCTGTTCTTCGCAAAGTTCCCACACTACAACCTCGTGTCGTGGAACATCATGCTTGGAGCTCGCAAGGATTCGAGTCGAACTCGGCAGCTTTTCGATCGAATGCCCCACAAGGACGTGATCTCGTGGTCCGTTCTCCTTCAAGCTTACGCCGACGCCGGCCACTGCTCGCTTGAGGCCAAGCTCATCTTCCTCCGGCTCCCTCGCTGGAACTCTTTCAGCTGGAACGCCGTGATCCAGATCTACGCCCAGGCACGCAAGCCGGACGAGTGCTGGGAGCTCTTCCAGCGATCGCCCAGCAGGAACATCGTCTCCTGGAGCCTCATGATCCAGGCGTTCTTCCTAGCGGATCGAGCCGCCAGAGCCGTGGAGGCCTTTAGCCTGATACCACGCAGGAACTTGCTGCTCGGGAACTCGATGATCGCCGCCTTGTCCCACCGCGGCCATCTCGAAGTCGCCTTGAGCGTCTTCGAGCAGCAAGCCGCCTCGTCCGACACTTTCTCCTGGACGTCCATGATCCAGGCCTACGCTCGAAGCTCGCAGCTCCACCGCGCTCTCCGGATGCTGGCGAGGATGCTGCTCGAGGGCGTGGAGGCAACGGAGGCGACGGTGACGGCGCTGCTCACTGGGTGTGGATTTGGCGGCGAGGTTGACGAGGCGAGGAAGCACTTCCTGCAGATGGAGGATGACTTTGGCGTGAGGCCGAGCTTGACACACTTTCACTGCCTCGTGGACGCGCTGGGGCGAGGCAAGAAGCTGGACGAGGCGGAGGAGCTCGTGGAGACGATGCCATATCTGCCGGATAAGGTGTCGTGGGTGTCGCTGCTGGCTGCGTGTAGAATGCATGGCGATGGCGGGCGAGCAAAACGAGCAGCCTCCAGGATTCTAGAACTCGACTCGCAAAACACGGCGGCCTCCATTCTTCTGGAAGAGTCAACTAGAGTTAGCGCTTGTTGAGGAAGAACTCACAAGTTTTTGTTGCTGAAAAGTCACATTTTTCTTAGTTGATGCTGCTTGAGATGAAAGAGAAACAAACTGGATCAAGAAAATAGAGAGTTTTAATAAAAAAGAACTTACCACTGTGCTGCTATGAATCCCAGGACGACACACCACCGCCACCAACGTCAGGCGCCTCCAAGGCATTTGCCAAAGATGACGGCGCAGTGAGCTCGGCTTTGGGCTTCTTGGGCTTCTTGCGTGTTTCTCTGCCGCCGCCCTCGATGATGGAAACCACCTTAGAATCTTGCTTGGGCCCATCCTTCCGTTTCTTCTCACGGGGTTTCTCCGTGTTGTCTTTAGCAGCAGCGCTAACAGCGTCGGCGCTCGATGCAACAAGCTCGATGAACGGCCTCGCCTCTGTCAATTCATCACGGCTGTCATCTTTGACACTTGCAGCAACTGTCTCTTTCTGCTGTTGTATTGCGCGCTGCTCGGTGGTTTGCTTTAACTTGTTCCTGTGTTTCGTCCTCTGTTTGTTGTCTGTGGGCCGGCCATCGAATACTTGCAGGTCAGGAACTAGACTCTTTACCTGAGTACAATCAAACAAATATCCGTGTAAGCAAAGATGAAAGACCAAAAGCTTACATCGTCAGGATAATTAGCCTCATCGCAGAGAGGATTTCCTCGCAGGCTCAGGTTCGCGAGGGATTGCAATTGTTTCAAGACCTTCACTAAAAATTCAGTTGAGTGCCCGACGAGCAGAACTTGGATTTACGTACCTTGATACATTTGAATGTTTTAATACTGTTGTGTCCCACATCAATAATCCGCAAACGAGAATTTAGCCCCAGTTCCTTCGGGAGTTTCTGCAGGATAGAACAATCATAATAATACGATCATCCGGAAAAGAGCTACCTTTAAGTGATTATGTGCAAGCCGAAGCTCTTCCAAGAGCAGACAGTTACTTATCGAGCTTCCCAAATCCTTGATCTCGCAATGAGAGAGGGATAGCTACAGCAAACATTCTAGTTTACAAGAAGACTGCCGGAAAAGAACAAAACGCTTACCTTCTTAAGTGATGTAAGCCTTGTCAAAGATGTCCCAAGGCTGGAGATGGGGTTTTGGGAGAGAACTTCGTAGCAAGCACGGTTAGAGTTGACAGATAAAACTGAAATGCAATCTACCTAGAGTGTCGAGGTTCACAAGTTCGTCAAAGGCTCCGATAGAAGTGATCTGATTATCTGTATGAACCGTCTTACTCAATCAAAAAGACTTGATAAAAGAACAGACCGTTCAGAATCAGAGCTCGAAGCTCTCTAAGCTTTGCAAGCATTTCCGTTGATGTAAGCTCGTTTTTGCTACAGTTGAGAACCTGGAACGAAACAAACAGAATGAAAGAGAAGCGAGGAAGAAATACGAAAGAAAAGAAAGAGCTTTACTCACTGAAAGATTTTTCAGGCCCTCTAGACCCGTCAAAGACGTGAGCTTGTTCCCAGAGAGTGAAAGCCATTTCAACTTTTTCAAAGGAGCAAGAGCCTAACAACGGAGCGACCAGTTCCTCAGAAATGAAAGGAGAAAAACCCCTATTCACATACCTCAACACTCGTGAGAAGATTCCCAGAGAGGTCAATGCGCTTGAGATTGCCGCAGGAATGCAGCTCATCCGAAATCTATCGAAGCACTGGTTTAGCAAGATTTTCCTCCGCCAATGTCATCACAACACACCTCATCAATCTTCCGGCGAGCAAGCGACAGCTCGCCCAGCGCCGGCGCGTCGCCGATCCCAGAGATCAGTTTGCCGTCGAGAATCACCATCTAAAGCCCTAACCTAAACCATTCCCGCCAAAAACGTTTATAAAGAAAGATAAAATTGCGAAGAACCCTAAAAACAGAGTCACCAGCTAGTGATCCACTGCTGCAATTCTAGCGAGCGCTTCCTCCACCACTTGGGCTTCTTCTTCCTCACTGGTATGTAGACCGATTTTCCCTTGTACATCGACGCCAGGCACTCCCTGGGCGCGCTCCATCGAAAATCCCCTGCTTCCTTCGCAAAGGACGAGTTCCGGAAGCGATTGTGCGAGCTCCGGGAGCGATTGACATAGCCGGCCCAATCACTGCTCAGCAGCTGCAAATCCTTGACCTTGCGATGCATCCCAATGCAGCAATTCGCGTGCATTGTGCAAATCTCGCCCACGCGGTGCTTGGCCTGGCAGAAGCTCCCAAAAAGCTCGGTGCGCAAGAACCTCGTCTTGACGCCCATGTCCCAGTACTCGTCCTTGAACATGGCGGCGGTGAGGACGTCTTGATCCGGCTGGCCCGGGAAAGCGAGGCGGGCATGATACCAGTACTTGTAGAGCTGAAGCGTGCGATTGTTCGCGTGGGCGTGCATGAAGCCACAATTTGGATATGCTGAGTCGCCGTGATGGACGGGGTAGTAGTCACAGGCCATCTCCAAATCGGCATCTGGATGGAAGTGCTGGAATGGATCACGGAACCACATCACATCGGCGTCCTGCAAAGATCTCTCGAGAAGAATTAGGGTTGGGGGGAAATTTTGAAATTTGAATTTTAGGGTTCTTACCGAGAAGACGAAGCTATAGCCGAGCTCGAGGACGACGCCCAAGAGGTAGATCCGGCGCCACATGAGCTGGATGAAGTCGTGGGTCATGAATCCCTTGGCGGAGGCGAAGTCGAGGCCGGTGGTGCGCAGCGCGTAGCAGTGGCTGTGGATCGCCAGGCACAGGTCGTGCGAGATCTTGTCCACCGCCACGATGAGGAGGTGATCCAGCAAGGGCTCCGTACCCTGCCCCGCCCGGAAGCTCCCTAAAAAGAGATCCAGGATGCCCGCCGACACCCACGCCCGGTTGAGCGTCGTGATGATCACCGTCCTGTTCCGGAACGCCGCGGCGCCCAGAGCTCGCTCCAGTCCTCGCAGCTCGCGATGGCTCTACACAGCGGCTGGATTCCCGCGATCAGATCGAGCAAGAGCTTATCGACTCACGAATTCGGAAGAAAGAACGCGCGTCGGCGATCGATCGCCCAGGTCCGGGGCGTGGAATTGCCAGCTCCACAGCGAGCAGAGGTTGTAGGTCCCAAACACCATAAGGGCGATGGCCGCGAGCCTCACGGCGCGGCGAGCCATCTCGGGTTGTGTCACTAGGGCAAGAAACCGGGGCCGTTATGACCGTTAGAAAAGGAATGTGCGAGAGATATGCCGGGTATTCCCGGAATCTTTGCCAAGATGCTCGGAATGGCAAGATGCTCGGGTACTTCGGTGTACGACACTCCGGCTCTGGTGGGTCAATGCATTACGAATGCGCGCGCGCTGCTAAAGCTAGCGTAGCGAGACGTGTTCTCCACAAGTATTGGAAGCGGCGATTCCGGGGGCGTCTTTATTTTTCCAAGATTCCCGTTTTTGTCGTGTTGCTCGATCTCCATGCATGATTGTGTCATGACAACCTTAGACAATCGCGTTGGAGGGCCGATCCAACGGCCAGAATTCGGTTTTCGATTCGCCCAGGCGTTTCGCAAGGGGGCAAAGAGAGGGAGAATATGCGAGGGATATTCACCGGTGGGGGTCAACGTGGACAGCCTCCCTCGTCTTCGGAAAAGCTCCGCCACGCTGTGGTGAATATTCACTCGTGGTGTGCGTGGCCGTGGCCCCCGCCGTTGGATGAGTCGCTAGCGGCGGATGCCAACGGTGGATTTCGCGCCCACCATTTTGTGGAGAGAGAGAGAGAGAGAGAGAGAGAGAAAGAGAGGGCAAAGTTCCAGAGGATTTTTGGTTAGCGGATTCGATTAGATTGTCCACTCCTTTTCTTTCTGTTCGTTTTTTCTCACAGATTCGGTCGTGGTGGTGGCGGTGGTGGAGTCCAATTGCCGCACGATTTCCCGGTGAAATCGACCACCACCGCAAAGAAATGCCCACCGTGCCCAGGAATGTCTGAGAGAGATGATGGATTTTTCCAGATGGTGTGCGAGCTCTTGCCAGGAGAAGGAGGAGGTGGAGGAGGAGGAGGAGATTGCTTCATGGATGATCCTGGATTCCCCAATTCAATTCCACCCGCCGCGGATTGGGCGACCAATTTCCTCACATCGCCTCCATTTCAGTCGGGCAGCTTCTCCTCTCTCTTGGAAGATCTCCTCCTTTCGGAGCCACCACCAGAGGATACCGCCGCGTCATCGCCGGATCAATGGGAGGGCGTGGCGGCGGAGGAGGGGGAGGACGAGAAATCGAAAGCGCGCGGCCGCAAGCCCCACAAATCCGAGCTGTTGGGCAACGTCTTGCGGAGAATCTCGTGTGAGAGAACAGAATTCCTGGCTCAGGTATGGGTGCCCACGATGCGAAACAGCAGGGTCATGCTTACCACACAAGACCAGCCATACGCAGTGCAGCCCACCAAATGGGACCTCGTGCGGTACCGCACGCTGTCCGCGCGGTACGCCTTCCCGGTGGCTGGCGGTATCATTGGTGAAGTTGGTGGTGACGTGCTGCCCGGGCTGCCCGGCCGGGTGTACAGCCGTATGCTGCCGGAGTGGAGTCCCAATGTCCAGTTTTATGACTGTAAAGATTTCTTGCGAGTCCAAGACGCCGCGCGGTGTAACGTGCGGGGAACTCTGGCTGTGCCGGTGATCGAGCCCAGTACTAGAGAGTGCCTGGCAGTGATTGAGCTTGTCGCCAATGTGGAGAAGGTCGGGTATGAGTCCGAGATGGGAATGATTTGCAAAGCGCTCGAGGCAAGTTTTGTTCTTTCTTGTGATTAGATTTTTTCGGTTGTTTCATCGATCAAAAAAGTTTTTTGCTTGATCAGTCCTTTTCTCTTGATCGTTTTACTCATATCGTCTCTTCATTTTCTCATTAGCTTCCAAGCTTCCATTTTGTTCTTAGCTTGATCAAACTTTCTTCTTTTCAGGACATAAATCTCTCGAGTTGGCCCAGATGTGGAGTACCGGAGGTACGTGACACAACTTTAAGGTTCGTTCAGCTCTAAACACATTCTCACAAACTTTAGGTGCCAAAAGCTGGGCGAGAGGCTGTGTTCGAGGAGATCTCCGGAGTTCTTCTAGCAGTGTGTGAGTACCATCAACTTCCACTAGCACAGACATGGATTCCATGCTTCCAGTCCTCCGGCAAGAGCTCCGGGAATAAAAACCTTCCGTGCTTGCTCGCGAGCCACGCACCGTTTCACGTAAGGGACTCGTCGCTCGAGGGATTCCACCGGGCCTGCTCGCAGCAGAAGCTGGAAGCCGGGCAAGGCGTCGCTGGGAAAGCCTCCACCACGAACCAGCCGAGCTTCACGAGAGACGTCAAGAGCTACTCCATCGCCGAGTATCCACTCGTGAATTACGCTCGCTACTTCAAGCTCGGGGCCGCGGTGGCGATCCGGCTGAGGAGCCGGCTCACTGGCAGCGACGACTACGTCCTGGAGTTTGTTCTCCCGCTCGAATGCACGGAAGAGGTCGAGCAGTGCAAACTCCTGGACGCTCTCTCGGTCACCATGCAGCAGGCTTGCCAGAGCTTGAGGATGGTTTCTAGCAGAGAAGTTTTGGAGCAGCGGAGTGTGGTTAGCTCTCCTCGAATCGTGGAGCTTCACAGTGGTGACGAGGAGATGTCGGGTGTTGTGTTCGACAACAGTGGATTGAGTGCCACCACCACCGCCACCACGACCACGACGAAAGCTACGGCCAAGAGGAAGAAGTTATGTGGAGATGATCAGAGCTCGTACTGGAGTGCTTGCTCGATTCAAGGCGATGGCTCCGGCGCTGCCAAGAAAAAAGCGGGAGAGAAGAAGCGTGCCACCAACGAGAAAACGGTGCCTTTGGATGTTCTCCAGCAGCACTTCGCTGGGAGCTTGAGGGATGCTGCTAGGAACATTGGAGGTTGGTAAAACTTGGATAGTTTTTCGTTAGATTTCCTAGCAAAGAGAAGAGTTCTCTAACTTCAAAAACCGTTTTTCTTTTTCGTCTCCAGTGTGTCCGACGACATTGAAACGGATATGTCGACAGTATGGGATCTCGCGGTGGCCGTCTCGAAAGATAAACAAGGTGAATCGATCGCTCATGAAGCTGCAAGGAGTTATAAACTCGGTGGAGGGCGCAGACAGGAAAGTGAAGCTTGACATACTGACCGGAGAGATCGCGTCGGCTGCTGCTGCTACAGCTGCGATCACATCCAAGAAGAGCAATTCAGGTCTTGCAAAGTCATATTTTTCCTTGCATTTTTTCTCTAGACTTCGCTCTTACAGGTCCATCAACGAGCAAGAGTTCATCCGAAGCTAGCTTAAAAGCCGAGACTCCAGCAGGAAAAGAAGGTCTCAACGTTTTCCCAGACGGCGGTGGCACTGCTACTTCTCCAAACGAAACTCCGGAGATTCACACCACCGAACCGAGAGTGAACATGCTACCGGCGATCAAGATCGAGCCCCGGGTTCACGGAAGCCACGCAGCTCTCTCGGTCCTGGATCAACAGAAACTATCTCCCGAGCGCTTGATAGCGAGAAAGCAATCCTCTTCACCACCACTACCACCGCCACCACCACCACCACCAGGAACTCAAGAACATCAAAGTTTCTATCACCAAAACCAGGCGAGCTACATCGACTGGCCAGCGCTGTCGAACCGAGTTCTATGCTCCAAGGAGGGAACCAACTGTTTCGAGGAGCGGGCGATCACGGTCAAGGCAACACTGCGAGAAGACACGATTCGATTCAAGATGGGGACGGAGTTTGGATTCGGCACGCTCAAGGGCGAGGTGGCATGGCGATTCAAGCTGGACAAGGAAGGTTTCACGCTCAAGTACATGGACGACGATGCGGAATGGGTGGTGCTCAATGGCGACGCCGACTTGGAGGAGTGCTTGGACGTGATGCGTTTTAGCGGCTCGCGGGTGATCAAGCTCGTCGTCCAGCCTGTGAGCAATCCAAACGCCGGATCGCCGATTTCGCCCAGCTTCTGCAGTGTCAATTCGTGAACTTGATAGATGTGATCTTGAGTTGTAGCCTAGTTTTCTATTTTCTTCGTTTGTACAGGGGCAAAGTTCTGGTTTTGTTAGTGGGAGAACGCAAAAAAAATGGAGATAATTGTGAATTTTCTGTACAAGAACGCAAAAAAAAAAAAAAAATGATGAAAATTTGTAAAATTTTCCAAGGGGTCTGGGGTTCGAATCACGGCGATAGCACACTTGGTTAGGGTTTCTCAAAATCGCGTCTCCAGGGTTTGCGAGAGCGCGCGGCCATGGAAATCGATCTGGTGGTGACTGGCGTCCACACGAGGCTCTTCGACGACGATCCCGCAGCTGCATTCGTCGCCTCGGACGAGGCGCTGGTCCCCTGGAGCGAGGATGCCGACGTTCTCATGGATCGCTACGATGTCCGCCACTTGATCCACGACGCCAGTGTTTTCCAGCGCCGGCACCGCCACTCCAGCCCCGCGGACGAAGGAATTTCGCAGGAGGAGCTCGATTACGAGCGGTATAGGGATTTCCACGAGGCTAGTCGCGAGCTTGAAAGAGGTAAGCGTGTGGTTTTCTTCGTTGTGTGTGACTCGGATTTATTTACTTGCTTGTAGATAAAGCTGGGAACGATGGAGCCACGGCTTCCACCTCTGGCCGCTACACCAGCGTCCCCTTCGACTATCCCAAAGAGAAAGACAGCGAAAAAGAGAAAGAGAAGCACTCTCCACCGCCGCCACCCGACCAAGAGGAGGCGCTCTTTGTTCCTGGCTTTCCCGTCCCGGACCATTTGCAGCCACACCTTGTAAGTAGAAACTCCCCACGGGCGCATGAGAATCAAAAGCACTCTTTTTTCTCGTCTAAGCCGTTCTCTCGAGTTGCAGTGGTTTTTAGCATGGAAGATTGCTGGCGCTGTGCTGGTATGGTGGAGAATTAATGGCTTTGAATTGGCAAACTGATGGCACACACAGGTGTGTGATTGCGAGGGGATGCGTGCTGGTAATGGGTAGAACAGCTTATCTAAAATTTCCAAGCTAGAAGTCTACTTCCTTGATTCTTTCTTTTCTGAAGCTTTCTAACTTGTGCATCTTGTGGATTGTGTTTCCAGCCTAGGTCCCAGAAGATACACCAGATCATCAGCGGGACTGCCAAGTTTGTCAGCGAGCGTGGTGGACAGGCCGAAGTTATCCTCAAAGTAAAGCAGGCAGGCAATCCAAAGTTTGGATTCTTGCTATCGGATCACGTTCTCCATCCTTACTTCCGGTACCTGGTGGATCACCCGGAGGTGACAGGAGCGATGCTCAGATCTTTTCCACCGCCGCTGCCCCCACCGCCGTCACGGCTTGGCAGCGCTTCCATCACGAAACCAGCAGAAGGACTGAGATTGCTGGGCGAAGTCTACGGAGAGAACGACGAAGAGAATGACAAGAGCTTGAGCTTGCCACCGACAGTGGAGATCAGAACTATCAAGGAACCACCTCCATACATCAAGACGGTCATCGACAAGATGGTGGAGTTCATCACCAGGAACGGGAAGGACTTCGAGGACGTTGTCCGGGACAAGGATAAGTCAGACGAGCGCTTCCACTTTCTCCATCCATGGCACGAGTATCATCCTTACTACTTGAGAATGCTGCAAAACGCTGACCAGGTAGCTTTCTCTCTTTGTTTCCTTCTCGTTCTTTCCAGTCCAGTGAAGTTCTACTCTCTTACTCTCTTGTGATCACAGGCTACCTCGAGACGGCGATCGAGTTTAAGCAAGCATAGACAAGCGTCCAAGCCACCGGCGAACCTCAAGGCGAGCTCGAGTTCTTCCTCCCAGGAAGTAAATAGCCGGCAAAGACGGAGAAGCACTCGGTTTGATGTTCCTCCCCCAAGGGATGAGACCAAGACAGCACCTCACGGGGCACGGGGCGGTCTTCCAGTGGTTTCCAGTGAGGACGAGTTTGTCAAGGACATCGAGTCGAGCAGCAGAGGTATCGATTGGAACCAGCAACAGCAGTCTGGGATGAGCTACGATGATGCTCTAGCGGCAGTCCTGGCAGCAACCCGAGGGATCCAGAAGCCAAGGAAAGCTGTCGCGGAGGCCACGAGCAGGACGGAGGAGGAGATCAAGGCGGATATAAAGGCCGAGAGGTTGAAGAGAGCGAAGATGCTTGTGAGAGAAGGTGGCGGCGCGGGGGACAATAGCTCTGAGAAGTCCAGTGAGAAAGACGAGCGGAGGAGGCTGCGGGATGACAAGGTTGAAAATGGACACGAGCGAAAGAGGAAGCACCATCACACAAATGGCCAGGGGGTCGAGGGAGAAGTGCCGGATGATATTCGAGCCAAAGTGAGAGCCATGCTTCAGCAGCTATGACAACGAGGACGTTGTGAAGCTCCTTATAGTCTTGATGTTCTAGTTTTATTGGTCTGACTGCTCATCTGAGAACCTTTCCATTAGTCAGTGAACGAAGAGCAACCATTCCTTGATCAAAGTTTGCAATAAGGTGCTTGCTCGGATTAATGAAGCTGGGGCAAGAAAAAAGCAAAGCGTAGAGCCTCGTAGTTAAGTCACTAGTGCCAGGATCATCAAGAACACGAATGTGAGGATTTACTACCCTTCCGAAGCCATATTGCGAAGAGACCATGTAAATATTTACATGGTGAAAATACAAAGTGGTGGTAACAGAATGTGTAACTACCTCAGTGTTTTGAGAGCCCGGGGGGAAGTATTGGTGACAGCAAGTCCTTCTACTTGCTTTTTCGTGTGTTTCCTTTTTACTTTTTCTCACAACAGTGTTGACATAGTGCATCATGTTGGGGTAGTCGTGGGTTTCTTGTGCTCTGGCACAATCCTTTGTCACTTATTAAGGATATGCATAGCAAGATTTTCAAATATTCTTTATCTATGAAAGAGCTTCTAAATTGTGTTTCTCCCATATAAGAGAGCCTCTTCCTCCCAACACATCCACTAGCCAACCTTGCTAGACAATAAATGTTTCAATTGCTTGATGTTGAATTTCTTGCATCTTCTTCTGCAATTGGTCATTCACATGCTGGAGAGTGGCTTGTGAGAAATGAAAAGTTCCAGAATCAAAAACCACAAAAGGGGAAGATTTGAATTAGGAACTTACCCAAAGTGAAGTAGAGAAAAGTGGGAAACAAAGCAAAAAAGAGAAAGGGAATAAGAAAGAAATATGAAACCAAAATGAGGACAATTACTTACCTAGAATTCCACCTTAAGGTCTCTTCACCTCTGGAAAGTTCCTCAACAGTTGCCTGGTTAAACTCAGTCCAAAGGAAGAGTAAATGTGTTGCCCAAGAATGGTAATTGTAGAGCAATGAAAGATGGCAACTGAATGAATGGATTGTGAGTAAATGTGATAGCTAATTGTGATGTAGTGGTAGTGGAAGAGATTTGGGAGCCTCTGATCATTGTTGAAGTGGTCTGCAGCTTATGTGCTTATTGTGGGAGAAGAAAAAGCTCAGTCTTTATCAGAGTCTGTATGGATAATTGTTTGTGCTGAAGGAGCTAATCGGGAAGGGGAATAAACATCTGCCCATAATAGTGTATGGTCTCCTATGTGCATTAGGTTCAACTGACCTTTGAGAATCAGCTGAAAATCAAGTGTCTTGGATTTTCTCAAATCCACTGAATTAAGATGGTCAGCTTTATATCTTGAGTTTGGCATATTATATTTGGCTGCTTCTTGGTTAGTTTGCTGCATTTGTTGATGCTAAACAAGGTCCCCAAATTCATGTGCAAATGGTGAGAAAAGTGGTTGGAAAGTGAAATTGTAGTGAGTAAGAAACAGTGTTGATGTAAGTAAAGGGATGAATGGATGATGACTGTGAGTGATGGAGAATGGTGGTGGTAATATGTGGAATGCACTAATGTAGTGAACCTTGAGAAATAAACTGGGAAATGCTCAAGCTTCTAGGTAAGAGGGGTTGATGCAACCTCGAATTGAAAATCCATGCTTCTACTTGCTCTATCATGGGATTATAAGAAAAGAAAAGAGGTAAAAGCAAAGACAAGGAAAAAACACAAAAGAAAGAAAGAGAAAAGAATTCACTACAAGTTGGTGGTGATGTTGGGAGCCACTTGGTGTAGTTGGGTGGAGAGCATCCTAAAAAAGTCCAAGGATGCTAATGAAGCTAGTTATGTTGCCCTCTAGAGGCAGATATCATATAGTAGAGTGAAGGAGGGCAATAGTGGTCTCACAACAAAAGCTAGAACTTTGTTGTGTGTTGCAAGCTAGAGAGCTCCTATGTGTTGAGAAGAACTACTTCCAAAGTTTGAAAGGCTACCTAAGTAATTTGTGAAGATTTGGTGGACTAGTGAAGTGTTGGTGTTATAGAAGATGTTGTAGTTATTGCAGATAATGCCATGGTTAGCATTTAGTGGATATAGTAAATTATCACATAACAATAGGGGTTTTTAACACTCTGAGGGCCAAGTGTACAATTACAATGCCATATACTAATATTAACGTGGTGGGATTTTGGTAGCCGTCAGATTGGTTTCAATCCAGACCACTCGCTCCTGTATATAAATTAGGGTTTTTGGGTTAATTGATATACACATTTCTATATTCCCTTTCCATATTCCAAGCACTCACAACACTAGCAATTGCAAGTTAGAAAACAAATTTCTCTAATTAGGTTAAGTATGCTTGACTAATAATATTTAGAAAGTCTGCCTAATTAAGTATGCTTGACTAATAATATTTAGAAAGTCTGTCTTTATGGTCATTTATTTTTTTGGTTTTTTTTTCAACTAGCTTAGGTAGAGATTATAAAGGGAAACATAAAGGAGTATTAATCTCCCGCAATTATGGGAGTAAGAAGAGAGTGTCCATAAAGACTAACCGATAAATATCTTTTGATACTTGAAGTTATATTTAAGACACTCTTCCCCTTTAGGGAAGATCAATAATATAACCAACAGTTAAGGAAACAATTTCAAAAGTTAATAGAAAGTACACTTTGTGAGAAATACACCGACTTAAATGAGTGGGAAAAGTACATTTTCTCTATCCAAAGACGCTAAAACTCAAACACTCTCCAATCATCATTGATAAAGAAATGACTAACAAAATTATCCACCTTTGCTACTTAGGGTATATTTGGTATACAAAAGAATGATACAGCCCTATTTACAGGGATATAAAGAGAGAGTTAGAGACCCAACTCCCCTGAGAATAAATTAACCCCATTGGGAAGATTTAAATAACTATGATAAATTAGTAGATATGACTATGCCCCTTTTTCAAAAATGGGTCAACGAAAGAGAGGTAGGGGCTTGTGATCAATCTATAATAATTATCCTCATGGTTGTGAATTGAACCCATGTGCCAAAGTCAACCTACCAAAACTGACCTAAAACTAATAAACAAAAAAAACTTTGGATTAAAGTGTATTACTTTATTGATTTGTTATAAATGTTATTTTTTAGTACAATTCTCATACTCTATGACAAGCTTACGGACATGTGTAAAATTATTAAGAGGTTCCTATATTAATTCACAAGATGGGTAAACTTTCCATTTAACTAAATATTCTTTGGTGTGACCACTAAATTTTTGACAACATGACAAAATGCTTTCAACTTCATACATTTGACTGCAGACAAATCTCCCCTTGGCATGCAACATCCATAGTGTACAAGACTAATAAATTAACATGAAATACATTAAGAATATTGAAGGAAGATCCAATTGATAGAATATATCACTAACCTACTTTAACACCCAATAGAGACCAATATATTTTGGTAATAACTTTTGGGACAAAGATCCCTTAGCATTCAAGTTTTACGAGGATAACCAAACTTAGTTTCCCATATGATAGTACTAATCTTTATTATGTCAATACCTATCATAAGCTTTACCTATCACCTTAGTTGCCTTAGTATAACTACTCTACATAAGTTTCAATGGCTAGGACCAACATTTTGGACATTAGTTTTGATACAATAATCTGTTGACGAACCCCACGAACATTCCCTTGCAATATCTCTCATGGAAAATAACCAATAGTGTTGTGAAATATGTTGTTATAACATATTTCTATTGTGTCCAAATGCTTAACCCAATCATATTGGTTCATCACAATAGAGTACCACAAATAATTCTCAAGCTAAGTATTTACATGTTTGGTTTACCCATCCATTTGAGGATGATAAACTGTATTAAATTTCAGCTTGGTATTGAACAATTAGAATAATGTGCCCCAAAACTTTCCCTTAAATCTTGAATCTCTATCTAAGATCATTTCTTTAAGAAAACCACAAACCAATACTACTTCATGGAAAAAAAGTTTGGTTGTTTGCTTTGTATTTATTGTTTCTATAGTTAGAATGAAGTGTGCAATCTTTAACAATCGATCCATAACCACCATCGAAATGTCATAACCTTTAAACTTTAACAAGCAAGTGACAAAGTCAAGTGTCACACTCTGAAATGACCATATTAGTGCTAGAATACATTACAACTTCCCAACCTATTTCTTAATTCTTCATTTATACTGTTGATAATTAAAGCAATAATGAACATAATCTGCTATATCATCTTTTATACTAGACTAAAAAATCCTTTTTTCAATGAAGCAAGAGTCTTTTATTTATTGCTATATCCCCCTGTTGGAACATTATGATGTCCTTTAGAAATAACAATCTCAAGATACAATCTTTCTTGCCTATAATATATAAGCTCATCCTTAATTGAGAAGTAAAGCTTTGTGTTAGTATGATTAATAGCATTTGTTATATCACTATTTAGGTTTTGCTTCAACAATTCCACATAGTGCAATATCACTTTTGCCAATAGATCACTTCCATATGAAATTTGAACATCCTCCAATTAGTCTAAACTAATTGTTAATATTGCCCGAAATTGAGCCTAATGACTGAATAATATTATCTTTATCAGGTTTATAGATGATTTCAATATCAAATTTAATGAGCTTCTCTTGCCAACAAACTTACTTTTACATAAGTATTGTTTGAGTTGCAAAGTAGCTCAATGTGTTACTATCCCTATAAAATTTAGTATATCCATCCAAATAGTGTCTTCAATGTTCCAATGCCAACACTACAATAAGCATTTTTTTCTCATGCATAAGCCATTTTCATTGAGTTTCATCCAATTTTTTAAAGTAAAATATAATAGGATAATCACATCACTTTAGTGTAATACTAATTGCATTGTCACAATCTTGCTATAACATGGCATCTATAGCATAGTCAAATGCATCACAATGCACTTCAAAGGGTTAATCAAGATCTGGGATCATGAGAATATGAACCATGGTCAAGATCTCCTTCAATTGTACAAAAGCACGCTAATAAGCTGATGTCTAATAAAACGTTATACTACCCTTTATTAACTTAATCAACAGAAAAACAATACTTGCAAAAATTGCAAATAAACTTTTGATAGTATCTTGCCAAATTGAGAGAACAAACATTTGATATAGTGGTCAGGACTTCCCAAGACTTCATCTCTTCCACCTTTTTTAGATCCACCTCAATTACACCAATACCAATTATATACAATTTACCAAATGCACATTTATTCTTCTTAGTATATAGTTTGTTTTTTTAATAACTTCTGAAATACTACCTTAAGTGTTTCCTCCAATATTTCATTGAAGATTAAAACATTATCAATATATAGGACAACAAATATATCTAAATAATTGTGAGACACAAATCTCTATGCCCCAAAGTAGAGTGAACAAGTCTATGGAAAAGGACACAAAAGGGACTAGCACATGGCAAGTGTCGTGATATGAGAAAGTGTTAGGACTAACTTCGAGAAGGAGTCTGAGAAAGAGGCTAAGATGGAGTCCAAGATGGAGTCTAAGAAGGAGTCTGAGAAGGAGTCTGAGATGGAATTTGAGATGGAATTTAAGGAGTCTAAGATGGAATCCGAGATGGAGTCTAATAAAAAGTCTGAGATAGAGTTTGAGATGGAGTTGAGAAAGAGTCTAAAAAGGAATTCGAGATGGAGTATAAGATGGAGTTTGAGATGGAGTCCAAGATGAAATCCAAGATGGAGTCCAAGAAGAAGTCCGAGATGGAGTTCGAAATGGGGACCGAGACTAGGATTGGGATCGCAACCAAAACCAAGTCCGAGTCCGAAGGTGAAAGCCCAAAGCGATTGTCTCCTAGACCCTAAGGGGTTTGATGAGCTTTAAAAGGATAGTAGGGGGAGGACTCCAGTGAAACTAATTTTGTGAGGAAAGGCTAGTGTGATTAAGGAAAGTTATACCCATGTGGTGGGTGATGATATAACTATTGAGAAATCCAAGGCTAGAGTGAACATGGACGAATAAATGGAATAATTTAGTGAAGTGTTTAAAAATTAATTTTAGCTCTTCTGAGAAATTAAATGGTAAATGCTTCCAATCTAAGTGTGGGTAGCATTACCTACTTAGATACCTAGTGTGGTTCATTGGAACTTCACTCTAACCACATGGCTAGGGCACCCAAAGGTGAAAGGTGGGAAGAGTACTCACGAGGCTCACATAAAGTTACAGTGTTATAAAATATCGTCTTAAAGCCCTGGATTGTGGAAAGGAAGAAAAACAATCCTTTTGTATAGTGACCAATGATATGGTCATGTGGTGTAGTGGTCGAGCCTTTATGCCTTGATCAAATGGTAATGACAATCATGGACGGAGAGGGATTTGGTGAGGACTAAAAAAAGGATATTAGGGAAGGTTATTCCCCATGTCTTCAATCATTCTAAAGATGCTAATGTGTGGTCTTGGGAAGACCACTCACAAACAGATGGCCCAATCTTTGAAAGATAGAACTATGGCACTAAACTACTAATGAGGCAAACGTGAATGAACATTGCCTTAGCATAATGGGCAAATATGTCAATAGTACCTTTGTGTATCTATAGTGGTATTGGATATATAGAGCACTTGGACCAAGTGCAAAGTTAAAAGGGCATAGAGGCCATTCACGGAGCTAACAAGTCCCCAAGTCGGGAATAGAATTTGAGTGAGAGGTAAAAAATGTGATAAAGTAAAATAGAAAAATTAATCGCTCTCTAAATATTTTATCCATCATGTAGCCAAGGCATTATATAGACTAAATGGCATAACAAAGAATTCATAGGATTTGTAATAAGTATTATGTATTGTCTTCTCTACATCTTAATTTACCACCCATATCTAATGATGCAATCAAATTGTGTAAATTACTTAACCTTTCTCAATGCAAAGCTGCCCAAGTTGACAAAAGTGACAAGCTACAATATAATGGTAAGACCAAAGCACCATATGAACTATTTTCTGGTTGGCATTCCTTTGTAAAATCTCAAATGAGCACTTAGGCACTGGACAAGAAATGGCTCTAGTCAACAGCTTGCTTGTGCATAAAAATACTCAGGATTTGGATGGAATAGGGGCTACTAGATTACAAAGGTCTATAGGTATCTTCCTCCAAATCCATATCCCATCCAACTTTACCTAAAATCCTCCCATTATCATTTCCACTTTAAGGAACTTTTCATTGTGGTATGAAGTTGCCTTGTCCTCGACCTCATTTACTAAAAGAAAACTAAAATCCAAACCCTCTTCTTGTGTGATTCACTCCAGCCTTATATTGAAAGATGTGAAATCATCATATGGCAACTCCTCTTATTAGGATGCCAATCCTTAATTCTAGAATTTTTCCCCTTTGTGGTCATTTGAGGCATGTTTGGTGGCTCCTAGAAAGCTTTGGAGGCCCTTAACTTCCTGATTGCCTAGTTTTTAATGTGGTTGTTGTTAATGATGGTGTTGTAGCACCTCTTATAGGTCCATTGAAGGTTGACTGAAATCCTATTCTTTATCTCATTTTTCCTCATTGATTTCTATTTAAGTGCACTACTTGGATTTCCTCCCAAGAACTGTCTTCTAGCCTTCCAAGAGTTGAGCTCCCTTTTGACATGTAGTAGGATACTCCTTTCCAAAAATCTTGGTCTATAGATCTCTTTATCTATCACTGAACTTAGCCTTATTGGCTTATGTCACTAGTGATATTCTGCCATGTGGCCAGGTGTGTGGTGAGTCCCTCTAAAAACACTGAAGCACAAGGTAAACAAAAATTCCAGGCAGAGATTAAATGCTTTATTTAATGATGATTTATTTCATAAAATGCCAATTTGAGGGGTGACAATTGGGCGACTCCCTCCACGTGGGAGGTTAGAATTCCTGTGACCTACATTGCTGTCACTTGGATTGCCAAATATCAATTGCTAAGTGAAATTGTAAGTTGCCCATACACTTTCATATTTTTAGTTTCTCATAAGTATTGGAGGAAATTGCCTTCAAACTCGGTCTACAAACTCTGAAACTTAAGCAGAACCAATATGATGAAGTTATTGCAATCTTTTTTTGGCGTGCTATTAGGAATTAGGAAGAAGAGCGGATGGTCTTGGTCTCCCTCCATTTGGGAGGTTAATGGGAGGATGTTCGATGTAATTTTAAATGTATCTGAAACAAAGAACTGGTGTTTGAAGACAAGCTGCAAAACCGGGAAGTAATTCAGTTGGTGTCCAAAGAGATCTTTTGCTTGCATGGAATCCCTCAATAACCTCACTCTGAGAGTTAGTAATAGGAAATTTCTGGAAAAAAGAGTTGCAGTTCTCTTGAACGAACAAAAAAGTCCCTCTCCTTTCTTCAAAGTGGCAGCCTTCTTCTTGGCAAAGACCGCTCTTCTTTCACATGATTATGCCTGTAATCACACGTGGGCGAAACTGAACATTTGTTTCTCTAATTTTTGTCCTACTATCCAGGCTTTACACTTACATGCAACAATGCAGTTTTTCTTTGGATGAAGCTTCAAAATTCAAAGTACCTGTTTGTGAGCCAAGTCGAATCGCTTTTTACAGCCTCTCCGTCCTGGTTACGGTGCCAATAGTAGAAAGCATGCGTCCTGTTTTTGATCTCGAGCATTGCGTGACCAAAACTCGCCTCGCGATATGCCGAGTAGTTTGGCTGCGGTTGCATGAAGCTGGGAAAATGTCCGTATAAATCTCACAGGGCCGGAAAGAGAAGACTAAGAAAAAACCACCTACTTTCCAGCGAGCCCTTCTATGTTTCCTCCATCGCCGACTGTTATGTAGACAGGCGCAGACTCGTTGCGGGATGGAGAGCATTGGCCGTTGACAACGTTGTACTCGATATTAGAGACGCGGTGCTGTGGTCACAAAAGCATTAAGAAAAGAAAGCTAGCAAAAGGAAGAAAAGAGAGAACAAAACTTACACTCCGTTCGTATGCATGAACGTGCCCGGCAAACACAATGTCGACTCTGTATTGCACAAACCATGCTTCGAATTGCACACGCATCGTTTCGCCCTCCATGTAGTGATGGGTGTTACTGTTGTACCACGGGGAATGCATCAAAACAATCACCCACGGGGTTTCCTTCCTGTTTATATTCTGGAGGTCATTCTGCAGCCATGCCCACTGCGGGGTATATTTCCCTGCACGACCGTTGCTTATAAGAAACATTAGTTAGCAAGCCATTCGCAAACCATATGCGGAGTATGAAGACAGCACGATGATGTGCGCTGACGCCCTGTTGATCGAATACCAGAGCTGCGATGTACTCTTTGATGAACGATGGGGTGTTTGATAGCGATGAAGATACGGCTTGAATGGTATCACCTCGCTCTGGAAGAAGTTAGCACCGCCGGAAACTTGTAAGCTATATAACCTGGTAGAGTCTAGAATGCGCACTAGCTTACGATTGCTGGACGGTAGTCTAGCTCGTGGTTTCCCGCCGTCCAGATCCAAGGTTGATACGCGGTGCTCGGCTCCACCAATCGACCCCAAGTGTCCCAACGATTATTGTCGTCCAAGGGATAATGATCGGCGTATGAGAGGTCTCCGACGTAAAGAAGAGTCTGTCCGCTGCTGTTTAAGTAGTGCTGAAAGGTGTTGAGGGAGTCATACGTCTGTCCGAGATCTCCTGCGACAGAAGCAATTGTCGGTTTCGAAAGGATATAATAGACACAAACCTATGACGCCAAATGTGTACGCAACGTCGGGGCCAGATTTCGGTGCAGTGACGAACCAGAATTGTCGAGCGCATTCTCCATCGCCGAGTCTGTAGTAATACTTCGTAGCATACTTTGGACAAGGAAGCAAGAACCAAAAACAAGGACACAACAGTGAGTCGGCCAGAAAACTGTAGATCATATCAAACACACCTCGAGATTAGTGAGCTTCACATGGTGGATGTAGCCAGATGTGTAGTTCGCGTATTTATATGTTGTGATGTTTCCAGTCGCCGTCCTCGAGTACTTTGCTGTCTCGTTTCCAAAACTTACAGCCAACGATCCAGGTTGTGACGGAGTAACCCAGGAAACGATCATGGAATCCGCAGTAACACTCCCTTGCGTTATGTGGACCTGGAACACAAAGTTCTAATCAAACCGAGGAGTTATCGCAAAGAAAACCTGTTCTGGCGCATTTCCACAGCCTGCTAGATCAGGAGGTCGCAGAAACTCGCTGTCGACGGGCAAATCCTCCGAGGCTTGGAGCCTCCGCCGGTAAGGGCTTGTGATTCCCGAAGAGCCGCATTGGAGCTGGAGCTGGAGGATGAGCGTGAGAAGCAGCAGCGGCAGCCCTGCAAAGCATAGCTCAAGAATCGATCGCTGCAATGCCGCACTGATCGGCGCTAGAGAATGTGCCATACCTGAGGCGAGAGCATTGATCGCCATCCACGCCCGCGGGCCTTCGCAGCGCGCCTGCGATGGAACTTTATATAAGTCAACAGGCGGCACATATTCGCATCTATTCGTTTGCATGTCGTGCTAATATGAAATACTCGTTCACGTCACCTACGCGCAAAGGTCGGCTCCGTACGAGGACTGTAATGGACCTTCCCGTACGGCCATCGATACCTTGGACTCCAACAAGCTCATCGAGACTTACGGAAAGAATGGAAGAATCGCCTTGCCTGCATCACAAGAGGTGGCCTGTTGGCTCCAACTCCGTCTGCCCAGTTGATCTTGTTGTTTTATAAACGCTGGATACAGTGCCCTTGGCAATCCTTCCTCAGTCAATGAACTTCACCTCCACCTTTCCACAACATTGTTGTCACGCATGTCGCCATGCACGCCACACGTAGCCTCCCCGCTGCTTGTCTCAACAACTTTCACCTGGTGAGCAGCCTTTAGACACTCCACCACCTTGCCCCGGAGATTTTCCGCATCGCTGTGGCAGTAAAGAAGCTGGCAGCATTCCTCAGCATCCAGGTGCCCCATTACCACCGCTAGCCAGCCACGCGGCACCTCTCGAGGTTCACCATATATCGGGGGTGCGTAGCCCGCGTCGACCCACCCACGCTTTGTGGACTGCATATCCGTACAGCTGAACACTGCAGTCCTCGCATTGCTTGACAAGATAGACTCGCTTATCTGGGTGCATTTGTTCCACTGTCGTCCCAGAATTCATAAAGCGCTGGTAATACTCCCGCAGCCCGAGAGCCGTCTGCTTCACCGCCACACAAACAACAGCACCGTGCACCCTGATCATGACTATGAATCGCTGCGGGAAGGAGCAATGCCAGTGGCTGGTGGCCTTGCAGAGCTACAGCAGCACCAACCTGAAGCAGCTGTCCAACACGCTCGAGGATGAGTACCGGGAAGCATGTATCAGGCTCTCCTCCCGGCAAGTGCTATAGTAGAGCTTGTAATTGAGTAATGGGTGTGACTGCGGCTCCGTCTTCGCCAGTGACATGCCCCGCTGCAGTTTTGTGAGTACCAGAAGAGCCTCGCTCTTCCCGAATACCCAAGTCTATGCTTGTTCTCTTCACTCATCTTCCAAATGCAGCCCAAGGTACTCCTTCCACTACCTCCGCAGCGCACTAGTCATTTCGAACTCGTCATCATCATAACGCGGATGCAGCGACCGTGCTTACACTGTCCAGAAAGGTTCCAAACACGGGAACAAGCTGTAAAGGCAACGGAGGCGCAGCCAATGCGGGCCGGAAGTTGAGAACCTCGGGATTGTTTCCTGACTGCTCCTCCTTGACGAGGCCATAATCCTGTTTTGAAAGCCGCCCCAGTTTGCCAAATTGCGGATCACGTAACACATCTGAACAGAAAAGAGGGCATGGCTCAGGAGGGAGTAAGTAATCTAGATGTACAAACCTGGGGGGAGCGCGTAACTGTAATCGCCCTCAGGGAGTGCTCGTATAGATAATTCCATTCACGTCGACCAGGTGCGGATCTTTCCTTTGGCCAAACCTTGCTTCGACTCGATCGAACATTTCCATGGCCGAACCGTGGAAGCTCAAGGCGAGAACATCGTCGCCGCAGCGCACCATTCTACTAAAAAGGGCTTTCGTTTTAGAACCTTTGTTCACGGAGAATCCGCAGCAGCCCGGATGATATGCGAGCCAAAGTTCAGTCTTTGCTCCTTACAAAGAATCTGATCGTTGTTCTATACTTGTTTCCGGTGTTCGGTGTTTCGGCGTTTTATGCTCTGACAATCACAATGGGTGTCTGCTCATCCGAATTCCCTGCAAACGTTTCAATTAGTCAGTGAACGAAGAGCAACCATCTTTCAGCTCACCAGCAGGATTGTTGATCAAAGCTTGCGATAATGTGTCGTGGTCCACACCGTCGGATGCCTACACACGATGAGGTTGGGTCGGTCTCCAAAACAAAGCCAAGCATCCATTTACATACGGCTAGTATTTGGACTTTCTTCAAATCGTTCACGTCCACGACAGCCACTTCACATCCTGCGAAGGTAAGCTAGACAATGCTAGACAATCCATCTCACACGATTACCTGTTTTAGCTTTGAGAGCATCCACGGTGGCTTTAGTGTGAACCTTCAGGAAAACAGGGTCAAAGAAGAAATCTTGAGAAGAAAATATCTCGCAAAAACTGTACCGGCCCAAGTGTTATGAATTGATCGTAAGGTGGGAGAGTTCCGGTAACATCATCGATCAGCCTAGCCTGCAAAATAAAATCTGAAGTAACATGCATGAAAATCACAGAGTCGTACCTGTGGCCCGGCTAGTCGGTAGAACATGCCTCGCTGCCCAAATAGTCTACGAATGTTCTGCAACGCGTAATATCGTCAAGAATGATTCGATTTTTGCTTACCTTGCAATAACTGCAATGACGACCGCAAAGACAATCCTGAGCTTCCCAGATATGTCAATCAAAGCCTATGATTATCCGAAATAAGCGTAATGTACTAGGAAAGGAAAGCTTATTTACCTGCATACCACATGCGGTAGCGAGGGACGATGTTGGATGGAAGAGACGACACACCAGCTTTGCAAGAAGGCCTGGTTGCAAGCTTGTAGGATGACGGTAACGCCCTGAAAGGATGTCAGCTCGTTATTTTCCATACAGTTACCTTGCATTATGGCAAGTGGCGTCTCTCCTATGGCAATGACATCGCCCGGCTTGACGTATGGAAGCGCGTATCTTTTCTTTTGCAGCGTACATGATCAGGGGGAAAAAAAGAAAAGAAAAACTAACCATGTCAAAGGTATCTCACCTTTTAAGAACCTCCAGAGGATCATCTAGATGGCACAGAAGATGTGTGTAGATCGGCTGTATCTTCAACGCCTCCCTTAAAAGCAAAAGTAGATTAGAAAACTGTGATGAGACTCGGAGCTTGCTTACGAAGCCTTGGAAGGCGAATCGGGGTAGTGCGTTGGAAGAACGACGTGTTGAGAATGATTTGTCCGTCCATGAGGACCATAACAAACATACTCCATCTCGACGCAAACAGCCTGCATATTGTTTCATCAGCTTACAACAATGAACGTCAAAGGTACGTGCCTGCAAATCCGAGAGGAGCAAAGGACTGTGCGATTCGACATCGACCACCACCTATTTATTCATGAACGAATTCAGTACCTGAGAGAAATCACGAAAAACGTTACACACACACACCTCTATCGACGTGCTTTCTCCAGCTCTAGTAATGTAAGCAGGCCAGTAGCGATCGTTCCTTGCCTCTGGCTTGTTTCCTGGATGTCTGGAAAGAATCTGCCATGAAAAGCTACAGAATAGAAGTTGAGATTTATCAAAACAATGCGAACCTTGAGCTTCGTTTTGATCGACTCGACTGAGCCTCGCGAGAGGAGCTGGAGCTTCCCTTGGGTCTCGGCAATGAAGAGCTCATGGCGTCTCGTCATGTTAGAAAACCTTCGAGGAAATAAACCAAAACAATACAAACCAAGAGAGAAAAATGCTAGCCAGTGACCTCATAACCCCTCGAAACTGATAGTGGCAAGCCTCGTGACAATCCCAAGACCACGATCCACGGCTAAGAACAAGACCATTGCCAGGAAGATTTCTCTGCGAGAGAAATCACAAAACAATACGTGTGACAGATCGATCCATACCTGCATTGAGAGAAGACGAGGGAGCTCCTGCGAGAGCCACTGCGCATTGCGCCCTCCATACGTACACTCCGCCGCGGCGGGCGCTCCCGCCAATCCCAGAGACGCCATGGCGGGCTTTTAGGTAGAGCCCTAAACTCTGAGGAGCAATGCTGTTGTCTCAAGCATTTCCCTCGAATCCTCTCTACCAGGAGCTATTCCTGCCAAGAACCAAGCACAAGGTGAGAGATCGATGAAATATCTTGCCTGAATCGAGATTTCTCTGGATTTCCAGCGATCGTCGATGATCATCCAAGCCGGGGGATGGACGGGCAAATCATCCGGCGAGCCCGGCAAGAATCGCAAATCCTGGAAGCGCGCAACGGAGAAGTACATGAGGCCCTTCTCGATCGATGTCTACATCTCCTCGCGCTACGTGAACGCCAAGATCGTCCACCGCGTGACGAGCAAGACGGTGGCCGTGGCGACGACCAACGCCAAGGATCTGAGAGCTTCGCTGCCATCGCTCACCAGCGCCAGCGCCTGCGAGGTGATCGGCAAGCTCATCGCGGAGAGGGCAATGGAGGCGGATGTGTACGCTGTGACGTATGTGCCCAGGAAGAACGAGAGGCTGCAAGAGAAGCTTGAGATCGTGCTGAACACTGTCAAGGAGAATGGCGTCGCTGTGCTATGATCGCGAGTGCCGCTGGAGATTTGCCCGTGGATGCCTGGAATCGATCGATCGATAGGAAGAACAGGAGATTCCCAGACCGGGCATCTTGCCATGTGATGATTTGGGGGTAAAGGAGAGAGCCGATGCTTTCTGGAAAGAAGTGATGGATGATTTTGAGATTCATGGAGAGAGAGAATGGCCAACGATGTGTTGATCGTCCTCGTCGCCTGGATGCCGCGATTGGGGATTCCTTTTTGCGAAGACCAAGAAGCGCTCAATTCCTGCATAGCAATGCTGTGAAAATTTCCCTAGATTTGAGAGCGATCCAGGAGTTCTACCTCAGATAACAGTACCAGTGATGCCGTGATCCAAGAAATCGACGCTCTCGATCACAAAATACCTCTCTCCACCTCTCGATCGATCCGATCTAGATGCTGTAATATCGGAATGGGCATGTTCTTCCGCCGCTCCCGACACGCTGGATCTTTTTTTGCTTCAGCAGCCTGGAAAGACGAGGAGATCCATCAAGAACGGAAGAAGATTGATAGAAGAGAGGGGAGAATGATTTACAGCCGAAGCGCCTTGCTGGTGTCGGGATTATTGCCGAGAAGCTCCCGGATGATCTTCTCGGTGGGGAGCAAGTCCTCGCTGTCCGATAGAACCCCAAGAACCACGGCGGCCGTCCGCTGGATGCGAGTAGCATCCCTCGCCCTGGGAGCGCGCTGCCGCTTCTTGTGGAGGTGGATCGCGGCGGCCAGGCTCGGCGAATTCAGAGCGCATGCAACCGCGGCAAGACGGAGCAGATTCTCGCAATTTTCCCTGCGACCGGGCAGCTGTGGAGGCGGATCCCTGCGAATGCCGGCATTGCCGCTGAGGAAGAGCGCCAGTTCTTGATCCGCCATCGCCGCCATCGCCGCAAGCTCGCTCGAGAGCTTTGTTGAGGGCCGTCGAAACAAAACCTCGACAGAATTTGAATTAAATTTGGGCGGGCTGCCGGCCTGCGGATGCCATAGAATATGCCTCTCTTTTACATGCGCGCGGTGAGCTCGGGCAGTGCCGCGCGGTACGATGCACAAGACTTTTCGATCCCATGAGGTATAGTGGCGGTAAACGGGCAGTGCCGCGCACAAGGGAAGAAGATGTACTAAGAAGGAACGAATTTTAAGAGCTCGATATCAAACAAAAGTGTCTTGTCTATGAGTCCCTGGTTCTTGAGCACGAAATCCAGCGCCCTTTGTCCCTGGAGAGATTGAAGCATTGATTACTGTATCAATCGAAGTAGTTGAGCTTACAGAGAATGTGGTTGGCTTGGGTTCCTTCTTGTTGTAATCGTTCTCGGGATACCCCAGCTCCGGTGGGACGATTATCCTGTTGATCGAAAAATCTCGTCAAACAAGCTCGCAAGTAAGATCAAGGTACCTTCTCACTCCACCCACGGACATGGATGCTACAGCCTCTTCAAACGCGGGGATTACCTAGAAGTTTGGAACGAGTCATGGAACTCTGGTTTTCAAGGCTAGAGATTTAGTACCTCGCTCCTTCCGACTTTGAATCGAAAGAGCTCTTTCTCGTTTCCCTGGAAAACCAGTAAACGTTGTCCACGGATCATATCAAAAACTATGTACCTCAAAAGATCCTCCCTTGGCTTTGTTCCGTGCTTCGAAAATGCGACCGTAGTAACCAATCGTGTAGCCAGCCCAGTCCACCTGAGAAAGTTCATTGAGAGCTTTACAAGTCCAGTTGAAGGTTTCAGATAGAAGATCGCTTACCACTACAGTTTCACCAGGCTTTGGAATGGGACCTGTTCCCATCTTTAGATCCTGAAAGAAATCGTCGTCGAGAGCGACTTCATGCAAAAAATTCTTCTGCACTACCTTAAACTGCAGACCGGATGAAGTTTCTTTGAAATCCGGATAGCGCATCTTCGTCTTCCCGTAGTCCTTTCCTCTTAGAGCGGGCACTGGAAAACCATAAAGAGCAGCGTTAGAAAATGAAAGCAAAGAATGAAAACTCGTACTATCTGCAAATTCTGCGTCAGCAGCTCCAACTCCCAGTAGCATAGGCACAAAAAATCCGGCTATAAATTCCCGGCGATGCCTTACACAAGTCTTCTCTGTAAACTGATTGCTCAAAGTTAAGAAGGAAAACTTAGCTTTGGGAGCTGACCTTCTGGGAGCATTTGAAGGCACATCTTCGTCCGGCTCGCAACGTCCGCTTGTTTCTGAAGGGAACAAAAGAAATGGGGCAGTGAGAAACTGAATCACAAGCAAAGTGATATAGAGACTTACAGCACAATTGTCCTGTTGCGAGAGATTCTTGAAGGCGGAAGAAGTAGAAGCGTAAAGCATCAGCGCCATATCTCTTTATCCCGACCTAAGCGAGCACCACGTAAGCAAGCATTCGGCTTACCTGCAAGCTCTCAATCCCACTTTCCAGTTATCCATTCGTTCCACGAGTAAATATCCCAGCCTTCGGTTTTCGCCGTGTTGTTTGCCATGGCCGAGAAGGTGCGACAGTCGGGTTGGACACCCCTCTCGACAAACCTCTGGAAAAGCTCACGAGCTTCGTCAAGTCTCCCGGCAAGTCCAAACCCGTTGACAAGAACGTTGCACGTGAAGTTATTGGGAGCGCATCCAGCAGCTCTCATGTCCACCTCGAAAACTTTGCGGGCCTCGTCCAGCCTGCCGAGAGAGCACAGCCCCGAGATCAAAGCCGTGTACATCACCACGTCCGGCGTGCCGCCTTTGTCAACGAGCATGCAGAGAACTTGTCTGGCTTGATCGACTCTGTGTGCTCTGCAAAGCCCGTCCATGAAGGTGCTGTAAGTAACCACGTCCGGCTTTGCCTGCCTCTTCACCACCTCCTCGAAAACTTCTCGGGCTTGAGAGAGCCTCTTGGCCTTGCAAAGCCCGTTGATGAGGATATTGCAGCTAACATCGTTGGGAGTGCAGCCTCTGTTGGTCATGAGCTCGAAAATCCTCCAGGCCTCGTCCACGCCTCCGTACTTGCAAAACCCGTCCATGAGGCAGCTGCAAATAACGACCGAGGGACTGCCTCCGCTTTCAAGGTAGCTGAAGAAGATCTCTTTTGCTCGAGCAACCCGGTTCGCCTTGCACAGGCCATCAATAAGAACTGTGAACGTAACCTCCTGAGGTCGGACTCCATCTTTCTCCATCCTGTTGAAGAAAAGCTCGGCCTCCTGAGTTTTCCCCTTCTTGAAAAGAGTGTCGATGATGCAGTTGTAAGGAGCACTCGTCACCACACCACCTCGTGCCACGAGCTCGTTCAGCAGCTCCACAGCTTCAGGAACTCGGTCTGCTTTGCAGAAGCCGTCGACCAAAATGTTGTACGTGATGAAACTGGCTCCAGCACCAGAGGAAAGAAGACGCTCGTAGAACTGCTGAGCTTCTCCGAGCCTTTCCACTCGACACAAGCCTCCAATCAGTGTGTTATAGGTGGAAGTAGAAGGAGCACAGCCCGGTGCCTTCATTTCTCCGAAGAGCTGGATGGCCTCGTCTATGCGTTTCGTCTTGCAAAACGCGTTGATCAAGATGTTATAGCTGACGGTATTGACAAGGCCACGAAAATCCTTAAGCTCCTGGAACCACGATTCGGCCTTGTCGATCATGTCTGACTTGCAAAGGCTGTCGATCGTAATGTTGACAAGGTGGCGCTCCCGCAGCTGCTGCCTGTCAAGCATCAGCTTCACCACCTTTAAGCACTCCTCAGCTCGTCCCGCTTTGGACAGCTCGCGGACGAGCAAATCTGCCGGTAAGCCGCAACCATCTGATACCAGACTGTGGAAAAGCTCCAGTGCTTCGTCCAGCTTCCCAACGTGGCAGAGACACAATACTATATCGGCGTTCATTGCTGCTGTAGGAACACCACCGATGTCAACGTATGTTTCCAAAAGTTCCAGCGCTTCCCTGAACCTGTGACCCCAGACGAGCCCTTGAAACAACATTGCCAAGGCCGAACCGATGCTCCGAACTTGCCCGTTATCAACAGCTTCCTGGTAGATATCAAACGCTTCATTGAGTCTGTTCTGCTCAAGAAAAACTTCGATGATAATGTTGTAAGTGCTGGAGCTTGGAGTTATGCCTTCCCTCCCGAAAAAGTCCATAGCTTCCTGTATCCTGTCCGATGCAGCCAGTCCCCGAACTACTGTGTTGAACGAAACCATGTCTGGACCATGCAGCTTGTTCGCCACTTTCAAAACTTTCATCGCATCATCCACCTTGTTGGCCTTGCACATCTTGTTGATGACGAGACGAGATGCTTCTCTGTCAAAAGTGCACCCTGTATCGATCATAAGACTGAACTGCTCAAGCGCTTTCACTAGCCGGAAAATAGTGAGAAGGCACTTCACGATAGAAATTCCCATATCCTGCTTCCCGGAACATAGCAGATGATTAAGCAGCCAATAGCCTTTGTGAAACTTGCCTGCCTTGCAAATGTTTTCCGTGATAGTCGTAAAGGATGTTACTGCTGGCTTGTCTAGCTGAATAGACATTCTTTTCAGCATTGCAGACGCTTCACCTCTGAGGACCCTGAAAGCCGTTGACGCATCGCCTTCCCAAACGGCAATGCGGAGCTCGAAACCATTTTGCAAGCTTGCAAAGCAGTGCGGTTCACTTTTTCGGCCATAGCTTTCTTCCAGAAGCATCCTTAGATCTGGAAGACACCAAAACCTCTCATCCTCAAGACATTGTGGCTGCCGAAGAGCAGCCCACGAGAAGAAATCCAAAGCTAGCTCTTTTGTATTGAGAAAACTCGTTACCTTGGCAAACGACTCACCCACAATCCCTGAATTATGCCCTTCACGTGTATCCGATAGCGCCCCGGCACCGGCATTGCAGCTATGCATACATCTCCATTGCCTGTGAAAGACGCCGCACTGTCGTCTCACAAACATGACTTAAACCCTATACCCAAAAGAAAAACTTACCCAAGCGTTTAAGGTGTTCTTGCACACTTGCCAGTCGCGTCGTCACAGAATCCATCCTTGTCGAGAAGCCTCTCGGGTGGGGCACTCAAGATTGGAGCGGACGGTGTACCGTAGGCATTTCGCCGAGCGTTCCCGCAGCCAAGGCTTTTTCGCGTGTCCATGCCGGTGACCGGATTCACTCCGTTCGCGTATTTACACAAAGCCTGGCAGAACTCGAGAACACAAAGAAACATGAAACAACGATAACAACAAAAAGGATAACTCACTTGTTTTTGTGCAAGATCTAGGACAGCATCACTGAAGTCGGCACCCTCGATTTTGGCACCACCAAGATCACTGCGGGTAAGAACGGCTCTGACGAGGAGTGCATTGGTCAAGTCTGCTTCGTTGAGCACCTGGTAAAAAAGAAATGAAATGTCAGAACTCGTGAGTGAAAATCTAGTGTCGCTCAATTACCATCCGGTCCATAAGAGTGTCGCTCAAATCCGCACCTGGCAAAGGAACAGTTCATGCTCACAGAGCGATCTACAAACTCTTTCCATTGAGTGTACCGCTAAAATTCGTGCGATATGCAACAGCCTTCTCGAGATAGCCACCGTTGAATGTGCTCCCACTGAAGTCCGCTTCTCTCATATCAGCCGATGTAAAATTTGCTCTCCTGCTCATCCAAAGTTCCATAGAATCTAGCGATGGTATTAAGTTCTTACCTGAAATTCTCGTTTGCGTGGCTTGTCTGCCTAAGATATGAAACGAAGATAAGCATCGAAGAGAAAATATTTCACTAACATTTACCTTAAATCTGCCGAGCCAAATTGCGCTGCTGATCCTATGCCAAACTCCCCTCGAGATTCGGCCTCGAATTTATTCAGCTCCGCCCCGGCATTCATACCCGTCGCAAGAACTGTCGCCGCGAGCGTGAATGCGGCCGCTCGAGATTGCCAGGGCTTGGATTCTTGATCAAGAACCACACAGGATTTACGATATTTCCAACCGAGCGATCACGCATACCTGACTTCCCTCCATCGTCATCGCGACCGGCGGCAGCGCACCGCAAAGAGCCGCCCCGGATCCTCGTATTGTGAGACGCCACGCCATAGCCGCCGCTACCGAGATTGGAGACCGCTCCACAGCACCACGACGCCATCGCCAAAATAAAACCCCCTCTTTAAAACCCGCCCTAAATTTCAAATCGTTTCTAAGAAATTCCAAGCATATTCCTGCACGGATGGAATACGCCTACATTGTTGTTTCCACATGGTTTTGATATTTAGGGCAAGCTAGTGGGGAGTGAGTTTTTAGGAGGGGGAAATGGAGGAGGGAGCGAGAATCGCTCCGATCGTTTTGGAGCAGCTTGCGCTGCGAGGATGCCCGCTTGCCAGCGCTCGCTGCGATCGCCCCAGGTCAGATTTCTCCGATAGGGTTTAGGTTTCTTTCCCGAGAGCGGTGAATGCAGCGGGCGAAATGAGTCGGTCGCGTGTAAAGGAAGAAATTTTGTACATATAGCCTGTGTGCTGCCGCCGCTCGAATTGTGATGGATCTGTTTTAGAGCATCCCGATCTAAGTCACTGTCCCTTTTCTTCACTGCCTCTGCGCGTTTTTTTTTTTTTTCTCTTCTTTTTTTCTGCTTGCTCTTTTGTATAGCCCGTGTGTGTGTTCTCTTCTTTGTTTTTTGTTTTTCGGTCTTTGTAAGTACCACCAAGTGCATGCGCCTGCGTTTTATGTGGAAGGGTGTCATACGCACTTTATCAACACCAAGAAATTGCGTTTATAGTTGACTAGCATTTAGCTAGAAGGATGAAACGCTACACTAGGGAGTTTCTTCTGTCCTTTGCGGACAGTGAGAATTGCCGGCGACCACCGAATGATCTCGATCCAGCAGTGAGAAGGTTAGTATGTGTCTTACTGCTGTTGTCAAGCATCTGGGCTAAAGTTTGTGGAAGGTGTCTGCAGAGACTCCCCCTCACCCGACTTAGTGGACAGTGGGGTTTCTCCTGGAACCAAGTTCTTACACCGTCGAGATCGTGACTTTGGTCACGATGTTCCTGAGTGGCGAAATAGGAACTCTGGGAATGGAGGGGGGCTTCTTTCTCAGGGTCCGGCTAGGAGGAAAGCTTATGACGAGGAAGGATCTTCTTTTTCAAGTCCGTTTCGTACTAGTGCTAGTCGACAAGGACCGGGTCAGACTAGGTGGGATCATCGTAGCTCTATTGATCGGGAGAGGGAGAGGGGTGGGCGACACTGGGATGGAGCTGCCTCTGAGCACGATGGTTTACTTGGAAGTGGTGGCGGTCTACGTGGGGCTTATCCTGGAGGTTCCGACCGCTTCGTTGGAGGTGGCAGAGGGTCTCGGAACAATGCCAATGATACGCGTCCCAACAAAGTAAGATGTTTGACGATTTTGTGTTCTCTTTCCAAGCTGAATTGCCTTGGATCAGTTTTCTGGTGGATATCGGAATGATCTAGACGCTATTGATGGTGAAACTTTCGGAGAGAAAATTTCTACTGAGGATAGAGAAGAGGAAGAGCGCAAAAGACGAGGTAATTTGCTGGACCTTCGTATTTACGCTCATTCTTGTCTCAACTTAAACTTGCAGAGTCGTTCGAGTCGATGCGAAAGGAGCAACAACAGGAGAGGAAACGTCAGGAGGAAAAGAAACGTGACGACGATACTAAAGTACTACCAGTAGAGCAGAATGCGAAACAAGGATCGCGGCCTTTGGTACCTCCTGGCTTTAGTAAAAAGACGAGCGCCAGAAAGGAGCAGAACAACGAAGAGGTAAAGCTTCAGTCCTATATCTGGTTTCTGATGCTCTTAAGGCATCCAGACTAAAGAAGAAAAGGCTATCGGTGGCGACGTTATACCGCTTCAGCAATCATCTGGTGCTGTCGATCCACTCGCAATTGCCATCTCGTTAACGGAAGCCGAATCCTTCGCGCTTACTAATGATTCTGGCAATGGAAAAATCTCAAACAGCACTGGTGCCGTGACAGTTCCTTCCTCCAGCCCCCAGGTGGTAGTCAAGTTATAAATTCAATGCAGCGTCTGATTTTCTGTGCAGACTGAGAAAGTGGATGCGCGCCTAACCAGGACGTCATCGAAGTTTGCTCATCTGTTCAGCTTTGAAGGTACTCTTTCCTTTCACATTTTCGCATGTTCTCATTGAGTTTGGAGCAGATGATAACTCTACCATGGAATTCCTGTCCTTGTTTGGTTCTGCTGGGAGTACATCAAAAGATGGTGGCCAGAGTCCACGGTCTCCTGCTCTTAAAAGCTCCGGGATGAAACCATCGTCTGAGGTTGTTCAGCACGGGCTGATCCTACCCATGCCAGTCGGCCCGTCACTTGAGGACATCGAGAAAGGTTTCGACAATGGTGCGGGTTCGGATCACCATGGAAGCTCCAGCACGTTCCTTACATGTGAGGATATAGAGCAATCACTACTGGCCGAGGCAAAAACTGAAACGCACAATGAGCAATTGAACGACAACTGGGGACATTCGGTTGCGAAAGAAGCGGATACGGATGCTTCGCGACATTTACTGTCTCTACTGCAAAAGGCATCCTTGAAGCCCGACAACGAACACAAGGCACCTCCAGTGGAAGCTAAACCGTGTGATGGACAGCGTGAAGCCAGGGATGGAAAAGAGTCTGGTGCCGCAACGCTAGAAGCACTGTTTGGCATGTCGTTTATGATGGAACTCCGGTCGACTGATGCGCCGCTTTCCGCAAAGGTGGCGAGCGAGACGAACAATCATCTTTTGCCGAAGAACGCTGCCACAGTTCCTGAAAAATCGAACGCTGCGTCAGAGGTACTGGATGGGATGTACATGAACACCAACAGTCATCACCCGAGCTGGCCAACCTGGAACAAGCAGCCAGAAGTGCCGGAGAAGAGCTCCGGAAACTCTCAGCACGTCATCGCCGACACTTCGCCGGGACAGGAGCTCCGGAAACAGCCTTCGGAGGAGCTTGACAGTGGCGTCTTCAACGATTTCCTCAAGTTCAAGAAGGCCATGAAGCAGCGCAGCAGCAAGGCAAACGATCCTTTCCTCGGGGTGGCGAAGGACAGTGGCTCCCAGGAAAACTCGTCCAACGAACGGCCAGAGAACCCGCTTGACACGTCCAGCAACGGAGGAGGAAGCCCAGCAGTGACTACTCCAGCAAACCTCTACAGGTCGCACTCTCCTCCGCTGATCAACCAGAAGTCGTCCGCGCTGCAGCTCCAGCAGCTCCAGCAGGCCTTGGCGTCGCAAGGCTCGAGAGCATCGATCCAGGCAAAGCAGCAAGCGAACGGCGAAGCGAGTGCCGGATACTCCCGAGCGGCGAGACCATCATTCTCTCGACAACAGCAGCAGGCACTGTTTGAGCAGCAGCAGCAGCAGCTTCACGCTCATCACTTCCACCAGGGAGGAGGCTTTGCTCCGCCACCATCGTCGGCCGCCGCTTTCGGCCACCATGATCTTCACCACCACCTCTTGTACAGTTCCAAGCAGCAGCAGCGGCCTCACAGCTTCTTCCCTCCAAATGGCTCCAACCAGCAGCCGCCACTCCCCCCGCTGGCCAGCTTGCATCTTCCACCGGGTCACAGCGCTCCGCCAATGAGTTTCGGACATCCTCCTCCTCTCGCGACGCCTGGCGCCTTCCTCGGCTTTCCACCTCCCAACGATGCTGGCTTTCTCGTCGCGGGAGAAATCGCCGCCGCCGCTGGTGGTGGTGGCGGTGGTGCTGGTGCTGGATTGGATGCGCGATGGATTCCTGGCAGAGATCATCCCATCGGTTTATACCATCACCACCATCAGCAGCAGCATCACCAGCAATCGCAGTTTGGTGCGCACGAGATCGGCTTCCCGTAGAGAGTTTGTATCGTTTGTGGATGGATTGTTTTGGTGTAAGCTCGTTGGAAAACTCAAGATCAAGATGGTCATTCTATGATCTCTTTGTGTTTTTTCTCTTGGTTTTTGTTATTTTTGGTTTCTTTTTCTAACTTCCAAACAGAAGAAGTTTTGGAATATTGCAATCAATCGAATGCAACGTGGAAGTGTATCCATTTGACCACTCATGTGTTTGGAATAATTCCCAGATTCCCAAGTACTCTCTCTGGCTGCCACCTCCACATTTGCGTTTACTGCGTGCCACTTTCACCCCTGCTCCTTGTTGTGATCTCGCCCGGGAGGGAACGCGGCGGGGGGACGATCGAATTCGCGCAATCCGAGGAGATGGGTCGCTCCGGGGCAGCAATCGATAACTTGGGTCGCGGCGCAAGCAGGTGATTGTCTCGCGCAGGCAGAGAAATGGAGACGATCCTTCGCGAGGAGGAAGACGATGGCGGCGGCGCGCGAGGAGCAAAGGATCCATCGCGAAAGCCTCACGTCGTGGCGCTCGCGTACCCAATGCAGGGCCACATCAATCCCATGATCCATCTCTGCAAGCGCTTGGCATCGCTGGGCCTCTCCATCTCGCTCGTCAACACCCAGACCAACCACGACCGCCTCGCTCGATCGCGCGGCGCCGCGCTCGAGCAGGGGCTCGACATCGCCATGCTCGCGCTGGCCGACGACGAGGAGGATCCATCCGCCCACCAGGGGGGCGCTGGCGCCGGCGGCGACGACGCCCTCCAGCGATCGCTCGTCGCGGCGGACGCCATGGAGCGGCCGTTCGTGGCGCTGCTACAGGGCCTGCTGGATCGCGGCCGGGGAGTGGATTGCATCCTCTCGGATGCGTTCCTGGGGTGGAGCCAGGACGTCGCGGATCGATTTGGGATACCGCGAGCGGCGCTCTGGGCGTCGTCCACCGAGTACTGCCTGCTCAATTTCCATCTCCTGGAGCTCCGCACGCGAGGGTACGCTCCAATTCGAGGTGAGATTCGCGAGAATTTGGTCGGATTCGATCGACCGTGTGCTGTGCTCTGTTCTTGACAGATGCGTCGGTGCTGGACGATGACAGCCACACGATCGCCTTTATCGACGGCGTAGCGCCGCTCCATCCCAAGGACCTACCGTCTATTCTCCAGCGCTACAGTTCACACGATCCAGGGTTTGAGAAGCGCTACGCGAGGACGCGGCGGCTCTGCGATGCGTACTGGATCCTCGGCAACACCTTCCAGGATCTGGAGCCCGATGCGCTGGACGCGATCCAGCAAGCGATCAACGATGATCCCACCAGCGCTGCGAAGAAGAAGAGGAGGAATTTCTCGCCAGTGGGTCCTCTGCTTCCATCGGCGTTCCTGGGGCTGGGCGGCGACGATCTGGGGTCTGGGAATGGGCTGTGGATCGAGGACGAGCGCTGCGTGAATTGGCTGGACAAGCAATCCCCCTCGTCAGTCCTCTACGTCTCCTTCGGGAGCTTGGCGGTGATGAGCTCCGCCGAGATGCTGGAGCTGGCCGCGGGGATCGAATCGAGCCGGCAGCCATTCCTGTGGGTGATCCGGCCCGGCAGCCATCTCGGGAGCTTCGATCTGGAGGGCTTCGTGGAGAGGACTCGACAGCTAGGGCTCGTCGTGCAGTGGGCGCCCCAGCTCCAGGTGCTCTTCCACCCCTCGGTGGGCGGATTCCTGTCCCACTGCGGCTGGAATTCGACGATCGAGAGCATCGCCATGGGCGTGCCGATCATCGGGCTACCTTGCATCGCGGAGCAAAACCTAAATTGCAAGCGCGCTGTGAAGGACTGGGGCGTGGGATGCAAGCTCCAGCGGCGCGGCGATGACGATGGCGATGGCGATGCAATCGTGGGGCGAGAAGAGATCGAGCGCGTCGTGACACGATTCATGACCGGCGAGGACGGCATGGAGCTGCGAATTAGGGCGAGGGAGCTCCGCGAGGCGGCACGACGGTGTGTGATGGAGGGCGGGAGCTCCCACAAGAACCTGGAAGCGTTCGTGGAGGCCGTGAGAATCAACGGTCTAAGATAGAAAGATCGACGGTTGAGATGCCGCCGTCGGTTTAAAATAAAATTTGCCGCGTAGGGACAGGTGGATGCCACGCGGCACAAAAGATTCTCCTTTAAGGATGACTAGGTGCCACGTGTTCCGGGCATTGTCTTCATCTGGGCAGCGCCAAGGCGGCCTGGCGGCTTGGAAGCGCGAGAGAGAGATCCCATCGCGGAGATATCTCGATTTTCTTGCGGGATCGGTGTCTGAGGTAGCTAGAATCGGTGGATTGAGCGCCATCAAGCGCGATCGAGGCGAGAAAACTGGGCAAAATTTCCAGCAACAGTGTTTGCGGCCTAGGGTTGGGAAATGTCCACAAGCGGGGGCGATGGAGAACCCAAGGTAAGCGATTTTGCAAATCTAGAGACCATTTTCTTTGCTTTCCTTCTCGTGCTTGGAAGAAAATCCCAGCTTGGGCATTTGTATGGTGGATTTGCTTCTTTTTCGCACGATTCCATCATTGTTTCTTGTTCTTCGTGACTTGACAAGTGACAATGCTGTGCTTTTTCCGCCTTTATTTCTCGTGCTTGAGTTGCTTGGTTGACATTTCTATCTTTCTTGTTCTAGTGAGGAATTTTTAATTCTTTCTCACTCTTTGAACCTTTACAGCTTGTTATTCCACCTTACATGGTCGCCGAAGCCATGTCTTCTCTCCACGGGCTGGATCTAAGGTGGTCAAGTCCGATCACTCCCACGGAGATGCAATACGTGGAGCAATATGTAAAGGCCCGGTATCCAGAGTTTTTCGCGAAAGCCGGGGACGCCAGAAATCTCCCAGTCTTGACAGAAGATCAGGAGTACATTGACGAGAACGGCAGAAACACTCCAGGAGCAGCAGGCCCGGACGAGTTCAAGAGGAAATCTCCCTCCGCCGGCCAGGCAAAAGAATGGGGAGTGAAAAAAATGCCTCTGGAGCAATCGCGGCTGCTAGACATCCTCACTCAAAAGGCCACCTCCATCGCCACTTACACCGACAGCCTGAGCTCCATCCCGGAGATCCACGCCAGGAACACGCTGCTCAGGCATCTCGGGGTCACGGACGAGGACTACCTGGTGGTTTTCACATCCAGCCTCAAGGAATCCATGATGATGGTCGGGGAGAGCTATCCGTTTTGCCGCTACATGAACTTCATGACGGTGCTGAGCGAGGAGGTGGACTGGATCCGAGAGTTTGCATCGTACAAGGAGGCCAAGGTGATCGTCGCTCCATCGAACTGGCTCAACCTCAGGATAGCCGGCTCGCAGCTCAGCCAAAACTTCCGGAGGAAGAGCAAGCAGCAGAGCCCAAACTTGAAGGGATTGTTCGCGTTCCCGGCGGCGGAGAATGGTGGCACCAGGAACTCGCTCCACTGGGTCTCGGAAGCGCAGAGGAACTCCTGGCACGTCTTGCTCGACGCGTCGAATCTCCGGCTTTGCGACGATCAGCTCAACTTGACGTTCCACAAGCCCGACTACGTGCTGTGCACGCTCTCCGGGGTCGTGGGACACTCCACAACCATGACTTGCTTGCTCGTCCGGAGGAGCTCGTTTGGATCGTAAGCCGGGAGCCGGAGTTTTCTTCCAAAAGATTGATCGATTTCTAAGCGAAGAACACACTGTGCTGGAAGGAAAGATCGATCTCTAAACTCTCTTTGGCTATAAAACCAACCGATGGACGTCACAATCCTACTCGCATGGCTAGAGAGATTTTTTCTTCGAACGCTCGCAAGGTTGTATTGTATAATTTTTTTAGTGACTGGCAATCATACAGTGGTAGTCGCCATCGAGGCAATAGTGTATGTTCTTGATCATAGTCTCCTCCGTACTAAGTTTTCCTGGTACGTTTGGAATATTCTCTGCGGTTTTGTTTTGTAAAAGCTGACGCGACTGACGTACGATCAGCGACGCTGCGCCGTCGATTCTAGGGCTGCTAGCGGCATGCGTGGGATATTCCGTCCCGTCTTCCTACTGTGGGGGGGTTTTCAGCTAACTCCAGCTGTGTGTCATCTCTCTCTGTCTTTCTCTCGCCATGGAACGTCAGTTCTTGCGCGATCTCTCAAGAAGGCGCTGGAGAGATCATGGATTTCGACCGCGGCTGCCTCAATTCGCCGGATCGCTGCGGAAAAATGTGGATTCCAGGCCGCGCTCTTCCGGTAATTCGTCTTTGCCCGCTCCAGTGGCCCTAGTCCGTGCAGGTTTTCGTCACGGGTGCTGACTCTGGTCGGCGACAGCGAGCGCTGCATTGGAGCTGGCGAGAATTGGCCAGTGAGCGGCAGCGCGGCAGCGCATTGGAATCTTTCAGGTGGAAATTTCGGTGGGATAGATCTTGATGAGGCTGCTGCTGGTGTAGACGATGCCGCTAGTGAGATATGAGCTCCGTAGTGAGTATGAGCTCGCCAATCGAGAGCTCTACAGGTCGGCACCGAAAAATGACCCGGAGGCGATCCTCGAGGGCGTCTCCATGGTCAGCCTCGTCGGCATTGTGAGGCAACTTGGAGATCTAGCAGAGTAAGAGTTCTTTCTCTCGGCTCTTCTCGGACTGACCACTTTTTTTGTGAATTTTCTCTCCAGGTTTGCGGCGGATGTGTTCCACGAGCTCCATGAAGCCGTCATGACGACTGCTTCCAGGAGCCATGACCTCGTCGTGCGTGTTAGTCAGCTGGAAGGAGAATTGCCTGCGTTGGAGAAGGCTATACTATCTAGAAAGACGAATCCTCTCCAGTTTCCTTACGCTCCAGGTACTCCCGAGTTCTCTCCTTTTGTTTTCTATAGCTCGAAAGGTGGAAACTGGATTGGATTGGCAGGTCTTGACTGGCATGCAAGCATTCGAAACGATCAAAACCTTTGCACGCAAGGCGACTTGCCTCGCTTTATCAGGAGTTCTTACGAGGAATGTCGGGGTCCTCCGAGGCTTTTTCTCTTGGACAAGTATGCAAATCAGATCTAGACTTCGTGACTCGGTATAAGTTAGAATTTGACGCACGATCTCTTCTTCGTCTTCCAGGTTTGATGTCGGTGGTGTTGGAGCTTGCCTGAAGCGGTACACGGATCCATCGTTTTTTAAGATGGAATGGGCGAGCTCCGAAATTATGAAAGCGGAGAAGGCACAACAAGACAAAAAAGCTCGAAGAAGCAAAGTAAGTATTTTATGGAAATCTCGAAGTTTTGAAACATTTTTGCGTTTGCATGTGAAGAAACCTCGACGTCGGAAGGAAGGGGAGGTAAAAGACTCGAGGCCTCCCCCTGTCCAGTTTCAGCACCCGAGGTATCTCGCCTTCATCTTCGATCTATGAGAATTTTAACATGGTATTTAACAGGGCGCGATACTCAACTATAAGCGTCTCTAGTGTCGATGGCCTATCTGAAAGCGCCACCACTCCCTTGACGAACATGGCCGTAGAGAGCGACCCATCCAGCAAGCCGTTTCCATTTGTCACTTTTCTGGGCGGATCACAGCAGAGCTCGAAGGAAAGCACAGTCAGCCTAAGCGGCAAGTCCCCCATGTCAGTAAGAAAATCAGTATCAAAGCCTGTGGCTGCGGCGGATAAAGAGGAAGAAGATCGGATCTTTAAAGAGAGCAGCAGCAAGACAATAGAGGGAGATACTGCGACGAGGAAGGAAGAAAAAGTCGATGATGCTGCAAGTGACACAGAGCAATTTTTGGATGCCATGACGACCATGGAATCCGAGACAGATTCTGAACCAAGAGAGAAGCGGAGGCTTTCAAATTTTAGACAATCCAAGGTGGTGAGAACTAAGAAGGCAGAGAATGACGAAGACGCTCCTTTCGAAGATGCTAGAAACTTGGCAATCGATTCAGAGACAGAAGCTGAGTCCAAGTACAGCCTCGACTTAACACCGATTTCAGTAGAGCCTCGATCTCCTGTTCATCACGAGAACGTTCAACTAAGTTACGAAGTAATGAACGTAGAAAACGATGCGAAGGTGGATGTTGATAGGCCAGATGAAGTACCCGACCATCCAAACATTTCTGAAGACTTGAGGCTGGAATATGAAGACAGAGATTTGACGGACGATGAAGGGGAGTATCCAGAGAAAGATCTGCCACCTGAGGATGAGAACAGGCTGGAATATCCAGAGGAGGAGGATTTTGAAGTTGAATCAAGAACCACATATATGAACGACGTCTTGGAATTGGAAAATGAAGAAAAGAAGCTACTTGAGCTTCATCAGGATAGCTCTGGCGTTGTCGAAGATGTAAACAGAGCAACCTCACCGGCGAAAGCGGCATCTCGTACCAGCAACGAAAGAGACGTGAATGAACGTGATGATATAGTGGATGAAGCAGCTTTGGCATCGGACAAGGACTACATCGAAGAGAGCCCTGACGACGAAGGAGCTGCTCTCGAGTCCACAGAAATTTCTGACGCAGAAGTGGACAAGCAGAAGGCTGAAGAAACTGAAGAGCAGAAGATTACCTCGGAGCTGGAAGACGAGGAACCGTTCGATGTCGAAGTTATTCAAGTCATTGGAGATAATGGGGACACAAAGAAGGAAGTTGAATTCGAGCCATTGCTTGCATCTGATGACGAGGGAACCATTGAAGACAACGAGAAAAGAGAAGACGAAGCAGACGATCATGAAGAACGTCTATCTGAAACCAAAGCCAACGTTCATGAAATTGCTGATACTTCTGATGCTCCGCGCCAGACTGAAACAGTGACTCGGGAAGAATCAGCTAGTTTTCTGGTTAGAGAAGCTGAAATTTCGAGAGAGGAATCAGCCGAGGTTTACCGTGCGACAGAGGTGGCAGAGCAGGCGGTTTCAGGGCACAGTCGTGATAGTAATGCTATCCAAGAGGATGAACCTGAGCAGCATATCATCGGTTTGGAAAACGTTCAAACAAAAGCAGCTCCCGCCCTTGAACGAAACGAAAGCTTGCAAGCGAGCAGTCCCATGGATGTTTTCGAGTCTGCAAGCAGCCAGGAAAACTTTTTCAGCGAGGAAATCTCATCCAGGTTCAGTGCGTTTTCCGACGAGAACAACACCCCCAATAATGAATTGGAGGTCGAGGAACTTTACTCCATGCACGATGGGTACTCGGCAGATGACGACTCAATGAGAAATGGTCATTCAGAAGCAGCATCGGAACTACATTGGACACCTGCGGGGTCTACTGCTCCAAGTGGAGATGGAAAGCTGGAAATTCAACAACAGAACGAGGCAGAAAGAGATCTCAGCAAAGATGGGAAAGAGTCAGATGAACGTGAAGGTTCCACGGTGGACGTAAACCAGCAGCTTTTATCTCGACTTCACGATTTAAGTGCGCAACAACACGAGGACGAACTGGTACACAGTCTTCCCTCGGATAGTAAAGCGCAAGGAAACGAAATCGGCAATCATAAGGTGGACTCCGATGACGACAACGAGGTGGATCTCGATCGCCAAATGGATAAGCAAGACGTGGAAGAGCATCAACAACACGCTGAAAGCACTATTTCCAGCAGTCGTCAGCTGGAGGAAATCGAACGTCCCACAAGTCAACAAGCCTCTCCGAAGTTGCAAGCTTTTGACACCTCAAAGAGCGATGGTGATGCTATATGGGCAGCGGAAGACAACACGTCTGACAAGTCGGAGGAATCTTTGAGCTCCTCCCCAAGGTCTCCAGTTTTCGGCGTCCTGTCACCCGCTAAATCGGCAGACAGCCTTGAAAGCGAAGTTGCAACGATACTGGCGCCGAGTTCTCCAACGTCCCAGTCGATGCCGTCTCCAATGCCGGAAGAAATGCCACCGCTACCTCCACTGCCTCCACTAAGGTGGCGGACTTCGTTGTTCATGCCAAGGGACAGCGGACTATTCCAACGCGAGCCTCCAAGCTTGGAAGTTGGCGCTGGTGATCATCTCGCTTCAGCGCATGAGCCTCCTCCACAAGTATTGGTGGCGTCAGAGACTTCTCCATTCCAAGCTGTAGACTCGCCGGAGCCTCAGCCACTGGAGGATACCATCGACAGGATTTCCTCACAGCCAGAAACGTTAGTCGACAAGCCACTTCCAGATTTACACTTGCCGGATCCGGAGCCACCTTCACAACCTTCCAGCTTCTTGTCACGGTCAATCGACGTGGACAGTTTGGAACAACATCCAAGCTCGCAAAGCTTGGCCAACAAAAATATTTCAAACGACGATCCAGCTGATGCCATTCCTGTGTCTACAATGGATGAGTTTCGGGAAGAGGCTGAATCGCAAGAGCCGAGTGATCCAGAAACATCTCCTAGGACTGTCCCGTTGACGGTGGCTGACGTACCTCCAGCGCTACTCGTTGACGACAGCCAGTCGCTCGCAGCAACTGGCTTGTCTCATCCGGATGACAAAACTTGTCCCGATGCAACAGTGCACGAATCCTTGGTGCCACCTCCAGCCGAAGACAATGAGGTGCCTACAATTGCATCAGCCAGAGAAGATTTGTCACATCTCGACGACAGTCAACCGCTTATGGAAGTTTCGGTGTTCGCTCCCGCTTCACCGCTCACGGAACAGCTCCCCGGTCCAGGACCTGTGGCAGAAGCTCGCGGCCTGCCAGAATCATCGCTGCCACCTCAAGGTCACTCGCCTACAGATGCTAGCGAATCTCCACAAGCTCCTTCGTCACCAAGAACTTTTGACGACTTGCGGGAAGCGTCTGTGCCACCTCAAAGCCACTCGCCAGGAACTATCGACGACTTGCGAGAAGTGTCCGTGCCACCTCTCAGTCACTCGCCTACAGCTGCTAGAGATTCTCCACAAGCTCCTTGGTCGCCAGGAACTATAGACGACTTGCGGGAAGCGTCTGTGCCACCTCAAAGCCACTCGCCAGGAACTATCGACGACTTGCGAGAAGTGTCCGTGCCACCTCTCAGTCACTCGCCTACAGCTGCTAGAGATTCTCCACAAGCTCCTTGGTCGCCAGGAACTATCGACGACTTGCAAGAAGTATCCGTGCCACCTCAAACCCACTGGCCTACAGATGCTAAAGAATCTCCACGAGCTCCTTCGTCACCAGGAACTATAGACGACGTGCGAGAAGTGTCCGTGCCACCTCGTAGCCCGTCCCCGACAAAGGAGTTCCCAGACGCATCCTCGCCAGTTCAAGCTGCTCAAACTCAACCTCAGTCGCCTGTAAGAACAGAAGTATCCATACCATTACAGAGCCCGGAGTCGTTCACGGCGTCAAAGGACTCGCCAGAGGCACTCGTGCTACATCCAGTAGGAGAGCAGTCGGTGGATCCACCAGAGGTTTTGAAGTCACCTCCATCTCGTCCTGTCGATGACAGCCCGACACCCCCACCACCACGAGGCAATCTGGACGAGGAGCCAGAAACTTTTCCAGCTGATGCGCCATCACCCTCCAGGAAAGATTTGCCGGGTGATGCTCTGATACAAGCAATCTCCGTGCATGACAGGACCAAGGTAACGTGCAATCACGGGAAGCGTCGTACCTATGCTGATGGTTTGCTATATGTCACAGCTCAAGAGGGTGCCGTCGGACGTCCCGGGTGTGCCAAAAGCTCCTGACGAACGGGAAGTTTTGCTGGAGCAAATCCGTTCCCAGGTAAACATGATTGCACTTGAACTTTCTCTGTTTTCTATTCTTTTCTTCTGCTATCTCGTTGTTTGTTTGCTGAGCTACAAGTCGCTCGTCTGCATGTTTCACAGTCCTTCAACCTCCGGCACACGATCGTAGAGAAGAAGGAAATCAAGGAGACGACCCCGCGTCTTGTCACAAACATTAACGTGGCTGCCATCCTGGAGAAAGCAAACGCGATCAGACAGGTACTCTTTCTACGGTTTGCTCTTGTTTTCACTGGAGAGGTTCTCAAATCATGGTTAATCTCTTGCAGTCTCTCGCGGACAGTGAAGACGAGGAAGACGATTGGAGCGAGTGACGTTCGCTACTTTGGTAAGGCCTCCTTGTTTTATCTGTGAATATGTTATACATATATGTTCTTTGGTCAAGCGCTTCCAATTGGAAGAACTCTTGACGGATCCAAAATTCTATCGCAACATTGCAACGTTCCAAAGGAGGGTCAAAGTTTCCGCCAGAGATTCTTCGATGTTCTCTTTTTGCCGGTGGACTGTCGCTTTTAACTCTGGATTTCCCTTGTCTCGCGTTGTCTAGGAGAATGAGATTCATCGTCCTACAAAGATGATTATGGTCGAGAGCGTACAAGAAAGGAAAACGTTAACAACTTTGTAAATCACACGGGAAATACATAACACTCGAGCTCCTGGATTTGCAGGAAACATAAACGCGTCCCTGCCACTCCGGCTTAGAAAGAAGGCTACCATCGCCACGGCGCTCGACTTAAAGCCACTTACTTCCAAGCGCCTCCTTTTGCCTCCGGAAAGATTTTTCGCCTCTGAAAAGAACAGGACGTTGATTCTTACTCGTTCCTGAGGCCGGTGGAAATCTTCCTCAAAACCAGAGTCCCCAAGGAGAGAAAGATAAATCCCGGCGTACTTCACAGCGGTCGACCGTAGCGATACATTTAAGGAAGGCTGCCTGTGCGAAGTCTCTTGCCAGGAGGCCCCTGTTCTTGCGAGGTCTACCATTTTTTTTTCCTTTTTGTTCTTGCGCTCTTGTCTTGTCAAGATGGAAGCGTAAATGCTGCTGGTGACGAAAAGACCAGCATAACCACCACTGGTAGATAGCTCCCTAAGCTACGAAGGCCCCAGAAGAGCTTTGCCATTCTCCAGCAAGCAAGAAAAAAACCGATTTTTTTAGCTGATCACGAAAGAAAGAGATCAAGAGAAAACATTTTAAAACAGTACCTGAAAAATGTGATGCCACCGTATCTGTGCGGGAGGATTTGTTTTCGGGTTGGCGTGGCCATCGTGATGCTAGTAGGCTGTCTATCATCTTTCTTTTCGTGTATGGATCCCAGCAACACGGTGTTTCGATCTAGTTTTCCAATACAAGTTAGCTAGCACATTTAAAACAATCTTGTCCCTGTAGCGTAGAACACTGTGTTTGTTTCTTGTATAGAAATCCCGAGTTAGCTTGCATGGAGACACCAGATCTAAAGCAATCTCGTACCTGTAGTGTAGAACATCTTATATGGCTCTCGTACTGCGATTGGCGGAGCGTTTCGGTGCAGTGGCTGGCCGGAACGCCAACCCTCCGTGTACACACTGCGGCCTGGAAAGAACAACACAGCTATGTCTCCGGACCATGATTGGAATTGTTGAGGTGAGAATCATTCAATTTGGAATTGCCTTTAGCATTTCCAAATCGCTAAAGGCAAATTCCTTGTCTGCCATCCAAGCACTGTAGCGTAATATATAGCGTTGAATGAAGGAGCTTCGTCTCGTCCCTGGAAGAAGGAAGAGACAAGAAAACGAATATTAGTAATGCCATCCACTCTAATCCCGGAAAGAAACCATGCCTTGGTTTCTATGGTTTCCAGTCCCGCTAATTCCCACCACTTACCAGAAACCACGGGCGACGATAGCGAGTCACGACGATGGAGAGGAGTTGAATAGGACTGCAGTAGAGAGCGAGTGAGTGACCACCAAGAATAGAGTAAAATGTAAATGGCTTACGGACAGAAGGAGTCACATCTTTGGCAGCTCAAGTTGAATGCTCCTGCTCCTGTGCGCTTGCCGTCCATCCATGATCCATCCATCCCTTCAATCTCTTTCCTTCGCCATTTGTTGCATCAAGCTTTGGCATTTGTAAGTTCGGTTCATCCTCCCCTTCGTCTTGTTAGCCGTGTCGCTAATCTCGCTGGCCTGCCTGACCGACGGCCTCGCTCCAACATTTATATCCTTGCATATTTTTCTCTTTTCTTTCTTCCGCTTTGCTTGCCATCCCACGCTCTAGAGCAATCTGTTCACTGTGATGGGAATTGCCGTGCGCCGACTGCTGGAATTTGGTGACAGCAACCCCTGCAGCAACATAAAGCTCTCCTCAGCCAGGGCGGGATATAACACAATGGAAAAAGAAAGGAAAGGAAGAGAGGAATTCAAACCTGTTGAGTTGCGGGAAGTGTAGTTATGGCATAGATAGCAGAGCTGGGCAGACGTAGCAGCAGCTGCAGACAAACAGCTTGTTGCCTCCGTTTTAAGTGTCCATTGCTTTCAGAGCCAGATGAGGGGATTAAAGTCCGTCCTCCCCTCCCCCCCTTGATCATGTTAACCACCTGCTGTTTGGTAGGCTCGCCCGGAATATGAAATAAGAAGGCCTTCTCCTCGGTCAAACTCTTCCAAAAGAGAGCTCATGTTGTCTACAGCAGCAATCCACAAGCACGCTGCTAAGTTGCTGCTGCTTCTCGTCGTCGCTTTTGTTCTTCCGCAAGTCAATAATGCGACCACCGCCGCCACCACCGCTGCTGCCTCCGAGCCGCAAATCCTCTTGAGCTTCAAGGCCAGCATTTCCGATCCGCTTGGTCACCTCGGCGACTGGCAGCTCCCTCAGAATGGCTCTTCCTCCTTTGAGCATTGTTCCTGGTCCGGAGTGTCCTGCGATTCGATTTCTCGGTCCGTCACAGGCTTGGACCTCCAGAGTCGAAACTTATCCGGAGCGCTCGACTCGACGGTTTGCAATCTCCCCGGCCTGGCTTCTCTGTCGCTCAGTGACAACAACTTCACGCAGCTCTTCCCGGTCGGTCTCTACAGCTGCAAAAATCTCGTCTTCCTGGACCTCAGCTACAATAACTTCTTCGGCCCGTTGCCGGACAACATCTCGTCCCTGCGCTCCTTGGAGTATCTCGACCTCGAGTGCAATGCTTTCACAGGTCCCATGCCGGACGACATCGGGAATCTCTCGCAGCTCCAATACTTCAACGTGTGGGAGTGCCTTCTCACGACGATATCCCCGGCACTGGGAAAGCTCTCCAGGCTGACCAATCTCACGCTCTCCTACAATCCTTTCACCACGCCCTTGCCACCAGAGCTTCGCCACCTCAAGAGCCTCCAGTCCCTCAAGTGTGGCGGCTGTCAGCTCACAGGCAGCATTCCCGACTGGCTTGGAGAGCTGAAAAATCTCGACTTTCTGGAGCTGACATGGAATTCTCTGTCGGGCATCATTCCATCTTCCATAATGCACCTCCCAAAACTCACATCCCTGGAACTCTACAGCAACAAGCTCACAGGCCCCATTCCTTCCGAGGTGGAGTTCCTGGTATCGCTCACGGACCTCGACCTCAACAGCAACTTTCTCAATGGCTCCATTCCGGACACGCTTGCGAAAATTCCCAATCTTGGACTCCTCCACCTCTGGAACAATAGTCTCACCGGAGAGATCCCCCAAGGCCTGGCCAGTCTGAGTAAGTTATACGACCTCTCCCTGTTTGGCAACCAGCTCACAGGTATCATACCGGCCGAGCTAGGACTTCACACCAGTCTCGAGATATTCGACGTCTCCACAAATCTTCTCACCGGAGCGGTTCCAAGCGGCTTGTGCACCGGGGGTCGACTTCAAAAGCTCATCTTCTTCAACAACAGCCTTTCTGGAGGAATCCCGTCGGCCTACGAAGACTGCGAGTCTCTCGTTCGTGTCCGAATGTATCACAACAAGCTGTCTGGAGCGCTTCCGAGCGGGATGTGGGGACTGCCTCGTATGACCATCTTGGAAATTTACGACAACAGCTTCCAAGGCTCGGTGCCGCCGCAGCTCGGGCATGCCACTAATCTCCAAACGTTGAGAATCCACAACAACAAGTTGACCGGAACGGTTCCCACGGACATTGACAAGCTGCAAGTACTGGATGAGTTCACGGCATACGGAAATAAACTCTCAGGTACTATACCGGACAATCTGTGTAAGTGCTCCTCGATGTCAAAATTGCTGCTGGGATCAAACCAGTTGGAAGGAGAAATTCCAAGCAACATCGGGGACTTGAGCAGCCTTGCCATCCTCGACTTGTCCAACAATCATCTGTCCGGTTCCATACCACCATCGATCGTAAAGATGGTGTCACTCAACTCGCTGGACCTCTCCAGGAACAACTTCAGCGGCGACATTCCTCCGGTGCTGACCAGAATGAGGCTCAAAGATTTCCTGCTCTTCAACGTCTCGTATAACGACTTTTCCGGAGTGCTTCCACAAGCACTGGACGTCCCCATGTTCAACTCGAGTTTCATAGGCAATCCCAAGCTTTGCGTCGGAGCTCCCTGGTCTTTGAGGAGGTCCATGAACTGCCAAGCGGATTCCTCTAGACTCCGCAAACAACCTGGCATGATGGCCTGGATAGCAGGAAGTGTTCTTGCGTCGGCAGCGGCAGCGTCAGCCCTGTGCTCATACTATCTGTACAAAAGATGCCATCAGCCATCGAAAACGAGGGACGGGTGCAAGGAGGAGCCATGGACAATGACCCCGTTCCAAAAACTCACGTTCACGATGGACGACGTTATGAGATCGTTGGACGAAGAAAATGTCATCGGCAGCGGAGGTGCTGGAAAAGTTTACAAGGCAACGTTAAAGAGCAACAACGAGTATAGCCACCTCGCAATAAAAAAGCTGTGGTCCTGTGACAAAGCGGAGATCCGGAACGACTACGGCTTCAACACTGAGGTTAACATCCTGGGAAGAATTCGACACTTCAACATCGTTAGGCTTCTCTGCTGCTGCTCGAATGGAGAAACCAACCTGTTAGTATATGAGTACGTACCAAATGGCAGCTTGGGCGACGTCCTGCACCACCCCAGCACAAAAATCTCTGGAGTTCTCGACTGGCCAGCTCGGTACAGGATTGCTCTCGGCGCAGCACAGGGGCTCTCGTATTTGCACCACGACTGCGCTCCGGCCATCCTCCATCGTGATATCAAGTCGAACAACATCCTTCTCAGCGACGAGTACGACGCACTACTAGCTGACTTTGGCATCGCAAAGCTCGTCGGGAGCAACTCCTCCACCGAGTTCTCGATGTCGGTCCTTGCAGGATCTCATGGCTACATTGCACCCGGTACGTATCTTTAGTCATATAGCATCCATCGCATTTTTCACGAGAACTTCAACATCCAAATGCATAGCATTCACCATTTTTTTCTCCTCGTTTTTCTTTCTCTCTCTCGTGCATTGCAAGCTATTTCATTTTTCTCCTCCTTTTTTCCATTTTTCTCCTCCGCTTTCCGTTTTTTTCATGCAGGCAAGAAAGAAAAGCAAGAGAATAGATCACGCATTTCTTCCAGTAGCATCACCAAGAAGCACAGGAAAAAAGAAAGAGCTAATGCTTGTGCTTACCATTTATTTTGGCAGAGTACGCCCACCGGATGAAAGTGAACGAGAAGAGCGACGTCTACAGCTTCGGCGTCGTGCTGCTAGAGCTCGTCACGGGCAAGAAGCCGGTCGGAAGCCCTGAATTCGGCGACAACGGCGTGGACATCGTCACCTGGGCGTGCAACAGCATCCAATCCAAGCAGGGCGTCGACGCCGTCATCGATCCCCGCCTCTCGCCCGCGAGCTGCCGCCAGCGCGATCTCCTCCTCGTCCTCAAGATCGCCCTGCGCTGCACCAATGCCCTAGCCTCCTCCCGCCCATCCATGCGCGACGTGGTGCAAATGCTCCTGGATGCCCACCCCGGTTCGAATCCCCCCAAAATGTAGAGAATATGCGCACGCATCTTTACGGAACATTCCTTTCCAAATGAAGGTATCTTACATACATAGTAGCAAAGTGGATGTCTAGATGATCAAACCAAGCTCCCGCAAGAGACCCTCGTCCTTTAACAGGAACTTGGATGCTCTCGCAGGGCAGGCCCTGTTCTTACACTTGTATCGCGGCTGCGAGATCTTCCTGTTGTTGAAATCGCAGAAACTGGAGGGCTCGCCACAGGCGGATTGATCGATCGAGCGCGCTCGAAATCCCAGCTGTCGGGAAGGCCCTCATGAACGGGCGTGAACGGCGGATGGTTCTCTCCCCCAGGGGGCCGCCCCCTCTTTCTCTTCTTCACTGCCGAAGGGATCGCCGGCCGATAACCTCGAGCTTGATCCGGATCATCCTCAAACATCGCGGTGGGCGCTGGACGCGCGGGCGCTACCAAAGGCTTGATCTTCTCCTCCCGTGGCCTGGAAGCTGGAGGCGCGGGCGCTACCAAACGCTGAATCTTCTCCTCTCGTGTCCTGGAAGCCGAGCGCCATGGGAGCGATAGTGGATTTGGGGGAAGCTCGAGTGGCGGAGGCTCGTCGTGCTCCAGATAATCGGAGACCTCCCTGGTCATCGGGGAACACTGCTTCGCAACCCTGGACGAGATCCTCATTCTCCACTTCGACCGTTGTGGAAACCCTAACCCTATATATATATATATATACCCAGCGTTTTAAAGGTGGTTTCTATTTCAATTTTAAAGATAAAGCGGTTTAAGAAAATGTATTGAATAAAGTTTGTCTTTATCAAATTAATAAATACAAAAACTGAGCTTGGAAATCGCTCCTGCTGGGACTTCTTGACACCCTTGGGAGCCTCCTAAATAGATCATACGTTGGTCTTGAGGGCCATGCCAAAATGTTGTCATCCTTTCCAATCCCAAGTTCGTCTTCTTTTGCTTGGAGCCTGATAACCCAGGCCACAGAAGAATTGAAAAGCAAGACTCACTGGAATGCTGGCTGTTCCCGAGACACCCTTCACCACCTTCCTCTCCCTATTCACCTGCATAGTGTCTCCTTAACGTGAGCAGTCACGACATAGAGCACCGCCTCCTGGGTCCGCTCACCACAACGTCTACCAGATTATTCGAAAGCTGAATAAAGATGATTCCCTTGTAACCTTTCTAATTGCATTAATCTTTCTCATCATAACCAATGCCATATGTTTAATTATAATTACAAAAATTAATTATAATTTCAGGTATCTATCTTTCCTTTAAGGTGTATTATCAGCATTCATTGGAAGAGTTGGTTTATACCACTTAGTTTAATCTTTTCTGTTAAAATGTTGTAATCTATCCTCTTTTATCATAGAGAAGATGCACAATACAAGGGCATATGAATGTACGTTTATGTGCTTTGTATGTGGCCAATGTATAGTAGGTATGTGGTGTTTATTTCCAAAGGTAAAAACCTTATCATTATCAATTCTGTATTCTCAGTAAGATTTGCATTTAAAGTCACGACCTTAAATGTGTAAATACAAAACTTACAAACTTTATATTCTACAATTTTAAATCTGCTAGAGTCAGTCATTGAATATAAAATTTCTAGTAAATATTCATTTAGATCTGTAAATGCATCAGTGGTGAAATAGATCAGTATAGTCTTATGGTTTCATATTCTTCCATTTTGCAACTCATCAACAAAACATGAAGTTCCAAAAGTTTAAATGTCTTTATCTTTTTTACCCAAATCTTCTTATATGCTTGCTCTGAAGAAGAATGAAGGAGAAAAGCATAATCCTAAACACTAGAGAAAGGCATTGCTAAAAAACCTTACTCTTCAATCATGCACCTGGATAGATTACTTTCTTTCCTGTCTTTACTTTATAGTATTATATTTATACACACACATTTATTTATATACCTTAAAATATATAATATCTAGAAATTATTATATGATTCCTTACTAGGTGTAATAAATGGCAAATTTTTATTCAAGCCTTTAATAGTGGATCAAATTGTCCAATAATATATATAAAGGTATTTATCCCAATTATTTATATTCCAGTTATATAATTACAATAAAATAATTAGTGAAGATAATCTTAAACTTTAATTGAAATAAATTTTGTACAGATCAATTTAAATATTGATTTTTTACTTTGCAATAGCACAAACTACATAAAAAATTATAACATTAGTATTTTGTAAGAAAAAAAAGACATTAATTTGAAATATGGTCGATAAAAGTTAAAATGTAAAATAAAAGGTTTATAAAAAAAATTGTACCCATTTTTTAATCAGTTAAAGTTTTTAATAATTAAGCATCTTTGCTTGGGTTTAAGTAATACTGGTTTAGGTGACATTTTGAAAAGTTTAAATTCATAAGCTTACATTATAAGAGTGAATTTTTATATATTATTTAATCCTTTATACTTTTATTATTGTAAATGTAAATTTGACTTAAAACTAAAGACAAGAAATATTACAAAATAATTTATTTATAATTTGTTTCAATTCTAATTAGATTTTGTAAGACTTTTTCTTGAAATATTATAATATTTTCAATTTTTATTTTATTTTTTATTTTATTTACCTAAATATTTAGAAATATTTTTAATATGTCAGCTTTATATAATCAATAATTAATTTTTATTAGCAATAAGATTATGATGTAATGTTAAAAAATTTAGAATGTACTTCTACAATATTCTTTTCATTAGCATCAATTGGATTAATAAATAGGAATAACATTACTATTAGCAAACCAAATGTTACTTCATACAATGCACAACAAATTATTAATATTTTAAGTTTATTATTTCAATAAAAAAATTTACTATTGGTAAATTTTACAAACACAAATGGTCTGGTGTTCATAAGTTAAAATAAATTTGTCAGAAATTTGCCAATTTCATCAACACAAAGGATCAAACTTTGATGGCGAAGAGAAAACGTCTTGTTCACATCTGTTTCGTCAAGACTCTATGAGACAATAATTTTTTCATAGAAGTACTAGAGCTTTCTTAAGAAATTGCATGTGGTTTTGACTAGATCTCTACTGAACGTTTACTATCTCAACGTGGTTGTTTGTACCTCACTCTTAAAACTATTTTATATTCACTTCAGTTGAAGTCTCCTGCAAACATAAAGTCACACCTATGTTTTTTTCCCTCATCATACATTCATGCATCTTTGTAATTGAAAGTGAGCATCTTTGGGATAAACTTTCTTAGTTAATTTACCTTCATCATACCAATGACTTGGGAGGGTATTTTCAAATAATCATCTATTCAGTTTTTAAAGGTTGAAGTTTACCAGATGGAAAATAAAGGTCCATGTGCTCACTAACTAAAGCTAGTAATGAAAACTATCATATTTAATAATTACTCTAGATGATCAAACCAAGCTCCCTCAAGATCTTCTCGTCCTTTAACAGGAACTTGGAGTCACGCTTACAGCAGACCTTGTTTTTACACTTGTATCGCGGCTGCGTGATCTTCTTGTTGTTAAAATCGTTGAAACTGGAGGGCTCGCCACAAGTCTTGCAAGGCGGTTTGATCGATTTTGCTAGCTCAAGATCATCGCTGGTGGGAAGGCCTTCGTGGGCGGGCTGGAACACTGCATGGTTATCTTTCCCAGGGGGCCGCCCCCTCTTCTTCTTCACAGCCGGAGCGATCGCTGCCTGGAGCTCCCGATCTTCATCCGGATCATCCTGTGTGGCCACTGGAGGCGGCACCTCTCGTGCCTTGGCGGCCCGGGGCTCTTGTTCCTTGCGTTGCCTCTTTGGAGGTGATGATGGGTTTGGAGGAAGTTCGTCGTCCATTGGCGGAGGCTCGTCGTGCTCCAGATAATCAAAGGCCTCCTCGATCAGAGGGGAGCACTGTTGTGCAAGCAGGTAATACTCGAACAAACAGATCCTCATCTGTTGTGGAAATCCTAACCCTCTTCATGAATATACATTTTTCTATTTTATAGATAAGAAAATTTAAGGGTTGGTAGGCACAAAAGGGAACTGAGATATTCGACATCTCCACAAATCTTCTCACCGAAGCGGTTTCAAGCGGCTCGTGCACTGGGGGCCGACTCCAGAAGCTCATCTCTTCAACAACAGCCTCTCTGGAGGAATCCTGGTCTACTAGGACTGCAAGTCCGTTCGACCACAACAAGCTGTCTTTGGGATTGCCTCGTATCTTGGAGATTTACGATAACTATTTCAAAGGCTTGGTGCCGTCGCAGCTCACTAATCTCCAGACGTTGAGAATCCACAACAACAAGTTGACTGGAACGATTCCCACGGACATTGACAAGCTGCAAGTACTGAGTGAGTTCAGGGCGTATGGAAATAAGCTCTCAGGTACCATACCGGACAGTCTGTGCTCAAAGTTGCTGTTGTGATCAAACTATCTGGAAGGTGGAATTCCGAGCAACATCGGAGACTTGAGCAGCCTTACCATCCTTGACTTGTCCATCACTGTCCGGTTCCATACCACCTTCGATCGTAAAGATGGTGTCACTCAACTCGTCCAGGAACAAGCTCAGCGTCGACATTCCTCCAGTGCTGACAAAAATGAGGGTCAAAGATTTCCTGCTCTTCAACGTCTCATATAACAATTTTTCTGGAGTGCTTCCACAAGCACTGGAAGTCCCCATGTTCAACTCGAGTTTCATAGGCAATCCCAAGCTTTGCGTAGGGGCTCCCTGGTCTTTGAGGAGGTCCATGGACTTGCAAGCAGATTCCTCTAGACTATGCCTGGCATGATGGCCTGGATAGCAGAAAGTGTTCTTGCATTGGCACCGGCAGCTCTACATTGCACCCACAGCATTCACCATTTTTTCTCTCTTTTTTCATTCTCTCGTGCATTGTATTTCATCCTTGTTGCCATTTTTCTCTCTTTCTCGAATAGATCACGCATTTCATTCCAGTACCATCAGCAAGCAGCAAAGACAAAAAGAAAAAGAGCTAATGCTTGCTTACCACAGAAATCGGATCGTCAAGCTGCTAGAGCGTCACACAAGAAGCCAGTCAGAAGCCCTAAATTCGGTGTCATCTGGGCGGCATCTAATCCAAGCAGCAATCCCCACGAGCTGCCAGCACGATCTTCAAGATCGCCCTGCCAAAAGTCCAAAGAATGTAAATCAATATTTTCAGTATGTTGGTTCTATAAATGACTATTTT